AAATCTAAAAAAAAAAAAAAAAAAGAATTCCTCATACCAAGCCCCTCATCTAAGGCACCAGTTACCTTCAAGTCAATGCTGACTCAGGGTGACCCTGTATATGTCATAGAACATAGGGTTTTCAATGGCTGATTTTTCCAAAGTGGATTGTCTGGTGCCTCTGGCTGCACTTGAATCACCAGCCTTTTGATTAGCAGCTGAGTGCATTAACTGTTCCACCCAGGGATTCCTTTATTTTCTTTCATAGGACTAATGCCTTTTTTTCTTTTCTCTAAAGAGACCCTTTTATTAAACCTTAGATAGGACAAAGATGGGAGTTCTGGTGGTGTAGTGCCTAAGTCACTTGGCTGCTAACCAGAAGGCTGGCAAGTCAAACCCACCAGCCACTCCTCAGAAGGAAGATTAGGCAATGTACTTCTGCAGAGATAACTGCCTCGGAAACCCAAGGAGGGGTCGCTGTGAGTCAGAGATGACTCAATGGCACATAACAACAACAACAACAGGACAAAGACAAAGATAGTCACCCTGGATGAAGGGAACCATCAGCATGTATGTAGTAAAAAAGCCAATTGGAGCCTGCTGAATCACAGCCATGGGGCTTGCTGAGTCACGGCCATGGGGCTGATCATACATGATCGAAAGCAAAGGAAATCATCACAGAATCCTGACTGGTGGCAGATTAATTCATCAGTGTCGCAGGCAGAACTATAGAAGTGGGGAAAGAACCATGATTGGGATACATACTTGAAGTTTAAAAAGGGTTACAGGATTGGGTTCTGGGGCTTGACCACCTGGCTATGTAGTGGTTAGAATATGAATCATGATTGTGTGCCCCTGAGTCATAACCCAAAGATGGCTACAATACCAGGACCCCAATCTTTAAATTAGATAACATTTTTTGTTTTTTAACTTTTTATTATTATTTGGGTGAAAGTTTACAGAGCAAATTCATTCTCCATACAACAGTTCATACGCATTTTGTTTCATGGCATTGATTGCACTCTCCACAATGTAACAACTCTCTTCCCACTTCCTCCCTGTGGTTACCTTTTCCCTGTGTCCTTCTTTCCTATGCTTTCCTGCCATCTGAGCTTTCTCACTGTACAAATGCTGACCCTCTAATCTCCCAAGGTTGATTGTTCTAAGGAGTACACCTTCTAGTATAATTGTTCACATAGTAGGCTTATCTATTGTTTGATTGAAGGTTAAGCCACAGGAGTGAGTTCAGGTCTACGCCCAAAAGGTAAGCCTCATGTCTTTTCTTACCACGTTGTATTTGTTTTGAACTTGTTTAATGCCTACTTCTACTAGAACAGAGTTCATGAAGTTGAGGATTATGTGTATTTTAATCAATACTCTATCCTTTACATAGAATCTGCCACCTAGCATGTAGTAAGCCCTCAATATGTCTTTGTTTATTCAGTGCCTGATAGGCAGGATTTGAACCCAAACTTCCTGCCTCCAAAGTACTGCCTCCCAGTAGATGTAGAGAAGAAGCTGACACTTATTAGGTCCCTTGAACTAATTTTCTGAGAAATGCTCTCTGGGGATTGCTGGTTTAAAATAAGTGTAAGAATTTTCCTTTTGAAAACATTTTTAGGCAAGCGCTTTGCTTCTGGATCAGCTGACAAAAGTGTTATTATCTGGACATCAAAATTGGAAGGCATTCTGAAGTACACGTAAGTAACCTTCGAGTTGTCTGGTGATTTTAATTTAACTCTTTTACCTTTTTGAGTGACTTGAAGCAAAAACCTGGAAGGAGGAATTTTCTCTGAAATTGAACTTGGAATTAGGTTATGGGTGTGAGTGGTGGATATAGGAAAGTTGAGTAATGAATAAGTGAATGAACTTTTCTTGAGCACTTGCTACCTTGTCTAGCACTGGGTGTGTCACAGAGCTCCTCTCAGTTAATCTGATATCACAGATTCCACCCCTACCCTGAAGCTGGTCCTCATCCAGTGTCCTCATCTCAGGGAATGGCCTCACCTCCATCCATTGCTAGAAATGCAGAGTCAGCAGTGCTCCAGGCTTCCTCCAACCATGGGGGCTCTGCACATGCTCTTTCCCCATCCACTGATCCTGCAGATCTCTCAGATGCTGCTTCTTTAGGAAGGCTTTCCTGCCCTTCTAGACTAGGCCATGTCTCCTTCACGGCATTTTTCACAGTTGTGGTTTCTACTTTGGTCATTGATTGATATCTCCCAGCAGCCTGTAAGCTCCATGCAGACAGAGACTGCATCTGCTTTTGCTCATCATTGTGTCCCTAGTGCTAGCACAATGCTGGACCTCTGCAAGCAGTACTTGAATGAATGAATAACTGAATGAAAGAATAACTGAGTAAATGAATGAGGCCATGAGTCCAGTGTTACCAAGAAATGAAGGAATAAAACTGAGACCCAGATGCCATGTGTAGTACATGATTGTTATTCATTCAGTTTTCATCATTGTCTAAGTATTTGCCCTGTTTCTAGATCTTGGCCTGTGATATCTTTGTTGCCCTCCTCTGATATTTTCACTCCTCCACAAAGCAGTAACAGAAACACCATTAATAAAGCACTTACTGTGGTCCTGGCACGATTCTAGTGCTTTACATCATTATCTCATCAGATCACAAGCCTGATTATCTCATCAGATCACAAGCCTGAAGTTTCCAGCAGATAGTCCTAGGGGAGGTGGCATTTAGCCAGGCGAGAATAGGGGGTAATGTTTTGAGAAATTGAAAGGGGGTGAGGGGTGATCCAGAAGAAGGAGAGTTCAACCCTTAGCTTTTGCTTGCTCACTTTCAGAAGCACTGTGGTGTGTAATCAGAGAGCCTGTGGGCTCTTCATTAAAATCTGCATTTGTAGCCACTGAAGCATTTGTGGTTTCTCCATAATAATCTACAGTTATTTACTTCTCAGGCACAATGATTCTATACAGTGTGTCTCCTACAATCCTGTGACCCACCAGCTGGCATCCTGTTCCTCCAGTGACTTTGGTAGGTTCTGATTCCCAGTGTCTTATCCTGGAATAATTGAAAATCTGGGCTAAAAATGCTGACATCCATGAAGAATGTGGTGGCTTTGTCCTAAAGGAGTTACCACTACTTCTTTAGCTTCAGTGGCTGAGGAGACGCTGACAGTTATTCTTTAAACTGTGTAGAAACCAAGAGCATAAATGATGAGATTGAATCCGGTAAGAAATCTGGGAGACAGCAGGGTAGGCCCCCGTGAAGAAAAGTGTTAACAAGGCCAAGAGAAAAGCTTGCAAGCAGCCAGCTAGATGCAGTGATGGGTCTCTCTTCGTCCAGAGCAAAGAAGAAAACCAAAGACGCATGGAAACTATTAGTCCAAGAGACTGGTACACCATGCGATCCTCAGCCTATACAACTATGAGACTAGAAGAACTAGATGGTGCCTGGCTACCACTGTCAACTACTCAGAGGGGGATCTATGTTGGAGATCCTGAATAAAGTGGGAGAGCAGTGTGGAACAAAACTCAAAATCAAAATAATTAAAAAAAAAAGGGAGGGGGTACCAGGTTTGTTGGCCTGGTAGAGCCTGGTGAAACCCCTGAGACTATGGCCTCTAGCTGCCCTTCAGGTCTGGAATTGAGCCCATTCCTGTGGCTTTCAGCCAAACAAAAGACAGACGTGTGGCCTGAACATTTGCATTAGTAGATACACTCCTCAGAGAGATCAGTCATGGGAGAAGAGTGCTGTGTATGCACAGGGAGACAGCTCGGGGCAGGAGCGCATGGGAGGGAAGGACACGGAAGAGGTGACTACAGGGAGGAAATGGGAGGAGAGCTGTTGCATTTTGGGAGATTGCAGTCAATGTCATGAAACAGTATATGTGAACTGCTGTATGGAAAATGAGTTTGCTCTGTAAACTTTCACCCAAATCACAGTAAAAATTTAATAAAGAAAAAAAGAAAGCCAAGAAGAGTCAGGTATAGCTCCAGGGAAGCTCCTTGTCCTAGGCAAGGACAATTCAGTTGTCCCCACCTCTGTGTTCCCCCACCACCATGTAAGTGTGAAATTCTCCACTGTTTGAACTGGACTTAGTGCAGCATTTTATCATTCCTTGTTTAATAGCTGAGGTGGTGTAGTGCCTAAGACATTTGACTGCTAACCAGAAGGTTGGCAGTTCAAACCCACCAGCCACTCTGTGGAAGGAAGACTGAGCAATCTACTTCCATAAAGATGTACTGCCTCAGAAACCCAAAAGGAGGTTGCTATGAGTTGGAATCAACTTGATAGTAGCAAGTTTGTTTTTTTGTTGGTGGTGGTGGTGTTTAGTAACTGCAGCTGTCCTCCCTGAGGAGTGGCACACCTGAGGAGTTCACCCTGGCCTTACACATAGCACTGGCTGGTGCTGGCATGGAAGAGTGCTCAGTAAGAAAATTTACTAGTGAGGGAGTGAAGGTGGGCAGAGGCTGCAACTTTATTAAAGATCACACTTCTGATTTTCTACACCATCAATTCTGTCTTTCTTGCTAAGAGATTGTGGGGGTACAATGGAACGGCCATTAGACAAAGAGTCAGAGAGCTCAGCTCTCTTTGGACTTCAGTTTCCTTATCTTAAAGGGCTCATTATCTGCCCTGTCAACCACACAGATAAAGTGCTGAGGTTCAAGAGAAGATGTAATTGAAAACACATTGTACAAATGAGGAACTGTCATTCATCAAAACAAAATTTAGCATTTTCTCCATGTGAGGCAGTGGTCTATGTGCTTGCTTTGGAGATCAAAAAGATACAATGGAATCCTTACCCTCAAGGAGTTTATAGTCTTGTTGGTGGTAGGGGCCCTGGACAGAGTGAAAAATAGAATGTTAATTAATAATAGTAATATTTATTGAATGTGATGTGCTAGGCACTATGCTAAGGGTTAAAAATGAGTTCCTGTTTGAGCTCTATGCCAACCCCTGAGGTTCAGTATTCTTATTTCCACTCTACTGGTAAAAAGGAACTGTGGCTTGAAGCCAGTCTGGTGACATGCTAGAGGTCGCCTAGCTGGTAATTAGTGGAGCCAAGCTTTGAACCCAGGCCATGTGCTCACACCTGGACCTACTCTGGTGAGTGCCCCTGAGGGTACTCTGGTGAGCCCCAGGGGTGGAGTCTCTCTGGCTGGAGGCTCTGGGAGGCTCAGTGGAGCAGAGATAAGAAAGGTCATTTGTTTGCTGTTGGAATTTGTTATATATATTTTTACACTAGATTGACCTTCTTGACCATGTTTTGTGGCTCAGGCAAAGTAGAATTTTTTCATGTTGTCTGGACAGACACCTGTTATTGTGAGGCACTAAGCCAGAAATGTATAGGGGCAGGAGGGAGCTAGCTTTAGGTGACCAGTGAGTCATGGAAAGGTCAGGTCCTGTGTTGTGCTGAGGCCTGGGAGAGGAAACTGGATTTTCAGAAAGCATCAATCATTACTCTGAATGCTAGGTTGTACACTGGTTGCAATGTCATAGTTATGAACAGTGAAGTTGTCATTTCTTTGAGAGTTAAACGCCTAAAATCTTGACATTAAAAAATTATTTAATCATTATTTAATAAATAAAAGCAATTACTAAAAAAGTTGGAAATTCACCAGTTTGGTTTTTTAAAAAAATAATTATATATTCACAGTAAGTCACAAAGCTAACAGAGAGAGGTCTTATTTACACCCATGGTGGCATCTTATGTAACAATTGTACAGTATCACAACCAGGAAACTAAGACAGACACCATGTGCGTATATAGTTCCATGTCATTTTATCGTGTGTAGATGACCGCCATCACAGTACGGAACTATCGCATCGCCACCAAGATACCCCTTTATTGTCACACCCACCATCCTACCCCCTGTTATCCCTAACCCCTGGCAACCATTGATTTGTTCTCCAGCTCTGTAATTTTGTCTTTAGAGAATGATATATAAATGGAATCATACAGTGTATGGCCTTTTGAGATTTCTTTTTTCACTCAGCAAAATGCTTTGTTTCATTTGTCAATGGTTTGTTCCTTTTTTATTGCTGAGTAGTATTCCAGCCTATGATTCTTTTATTATTTTGTATTGAAGGCTTGTGGTCTCCTGAACAGAAGTCTGTCTCTAAGCATAAATCAAGCAGCAAAATCACCTGCTGCAGGTAAGTTAAGATGGTTCTGAAGATGGGCGTTATGTGCCCTCCTTTTCTAAACAATCTCTTACAACCTAGTTTTTTCACACAGCAGAGAAGGCTTTGTGTTAACTATTGGGCCAGGACCCCTGTATTCTTCTTCTCTCATCTCCTTGATGGGAAAGACCTATGCACCTTAATCATCAAGCAAAACAGAATTACAAGTTGCCTTCATGTGACTGTCTAGCAGCAAGCCATCTTCATCCTCCATTGCTGTGCTTAGTGGAGGCTCTCTGAAAATGTAAAGCCGCCCATCCTTTGCACAGTTGTCCAGGCAGCATGTGTGGTGGAGAAAACTCAGGCTTTGATGCTAGAACTGAGTTAGAATCAAGATTCTGCAGCTGGTAGGCTCTGTTACTTTGGGAATGTTACCCAATCTCTCAGAGCTAGAGCCTTCAGCTCCTCATCTGACAAATGGGTATAAAAATATCAGCTTGGCAGAGCTGTTGTGAAATGCACACAAACCAATGAGTGTGAATCCTGCAGCACAGGGCCTGACATAGAGTGGACACTCCATAAACGTTAGCTTAATTGCTGTTCAGCTTCCGAATGTAGCCTGTCTTTCATTCAGCAACATCTGTAGAACATGCCAAATCCTGTTCTAAGAGCTAGGAATACACAAAGACATGGATTCTGTTCTTAAGGTGCTCTTGCAGTGGAAGGAGGATATAATAGAGAGTGGGGAGCAGGGGCTGGCCCAGAGATGCAGGCATGTGCTAAGGGCCATTACAAAGTATATGACATGAGAGAGCTGTGGATGCCACTGCCTTCACATCTCACTGGTTGGTTCCAGAAACAAGTGGGATTTTAAGTTTGGTCCTCTGATTTTATATCAGGACCAAGAATGAAGAAACCAGACCCAACTCTTGTTGCCTCATCAGACTATATTTCAAACCAGGGCATCATCCTTCTCACTGAGTTTTACCATCCATGTGTTCCTTTCCCTCTCCCATGCTCCTTGTTGTTTGTGTGCACAGCTGGACAAATGATGGTCAATACCTGGCTCTGGGGATGTTCAATGGGATCATCAGTATCCGGAACAAAAGCGGCGAGGAGAAAGTAAAGATCGAGCGGCCAGGGGGCTCCCTCTCCCCAATATGGTCCATCTCCTGGAACCCTTCTAGGTACACTTACAGCTGTTCTCCTTCTGGGACAAGTGTCATTATGGAGAAGGCTTTTTGCTCTGCCGGCCAAGTTCTCCCTTTCTCTGTGAGGTGTCCATGTTATTCAAAAGCTTCTCATCCCACTTAATTGGCCTTGTTTTGAACCTGTTTCATGTGAAAGGAATTTTTTAAAAGCCGATCTTGAGTTTTGGAATGAGTCCCAGAGATTTAGCAAAAAGTTATCTAGGCCAACCCCAAGTGTGTATGTGTATGTGGTATATGTGTAGTGTGTGCACATGTGTACATGGTTTGTGTGATGTGTGGGGTATGTGTGGTGTGTGAGTGGCATGAGAGGGCCATTCTCTTATGAACTGATAACTTACCTCTCTGCTGTGGCTCTGTGGAGGCATCTCTGTAGGACAAACTTAGGAAAGCACATACATCTATTTTTGTCTTTTCCCTTTTTCATTTCTTCCCTCCAAGTCTGGGCAAAACATGTGCCCAATAATAAAGAGGTGAAGATAGCTTTTTCATGAACCTTTTTATGCTGCCCTAGACAAAAAGTAAAAAAAAAAACAAGTCTACAAATGCCCCAAAAGCAGAAAGGTCCACAAAGAATTGGCATCCAGTTTCTCAAACCTTATGTACTCTTTCCTTTCTAGACCCAGGTGACTTGGAGGGAGGACTAATAGCTTTATATGCTCTTTGTATAATCCTATAATATTATTAAACCATCTGTATCGCCCACAGAGTCCTCTGAAGGTAAATTAAAGCTACCCTACCACCAAGTACTTAATGTTTATCTCAGCCTATTGTCATTTCATGAGTGTGTGCCTGCTTGATTTAGAAGGTTGTTTAGATATACTGCCCATCCTTCACCAGATTATTATGCTTCTTCCTGAATCATTTTGTCTAACCCAGGGCTGTACCATGCATGTCTAATGCCTTCAAAGGCCATTAGCCTGCCTCAGAGTTCCTGCTGTTTTACTTTGTGGCCACAGATGATTCTGTGGTTTCGGGGTATCATTTTTAATTCATGAGAAGCAGGATGCCCAGTGTACCTGGTGGCTGTCCTCCTCCGGATAGGGCTCAGGGACTCCTTGACAGGTTTTGAAATTATAGCTTTAGTGTAGTTCTAGGCAACATGATTGTGAACAACCACTTACTGTCTACAGCCGATGGGAGAATTTCTGGATGAACAGAGAGAACGAGGATGCCGAGGAAGTCACTGTCAACAGATATTTTCAGGAACTCCCTTCCACTTTCAAGTCAGCAGTGTACAGTAGTCAGGGTAGTGAGGCAGAGGAGGAAGAACCAGAGGAAGAGGACGACAGTCCCAGGGACGACAATTCGTGAGTGTGTCTTGAGGAGCGAAAACCTTCCCTGTCAGGGTCCAAGGACTCCGTGCAGATCTGCAGAGACAGAGCCATCATGGGCATCTTTGCCAAGAGGGGCCCAGGAGAGCCATGCAGGGCGGGGGGAGTTGTTGCTGGAAGTCCTTCAGTAAGTAACATACTCTTCAGAGTTATGTGTGGGACATAAAATGATCCTTTGGAAATTTTAGGAAATACAGAAAAGTCTAAAGGAAAAAGTTCAAATTTTCTGTAAACCCTGTGCAAACCACTGTTAGGATTTTGGTGTATTACCCCTCAGTTTTTCAGTTCATGTAGTTAATTAAATTATAGCCCTTTTTTTTTGGTGGGGGCACATAACATCCTAGAATGAATTCTTTCCAGTAACATTAGAAGTCCTTTGAAAACATGACTTTCTGTGTCTCCATAGAATACCCTTGCATGGGGATAGTCTCATTTTTGAGCATTCTCCCATTACCTGTCCCATACTGCACCTCACATTGCATTTTCCAGAACACATGTTGTAAAAGAAATTCTTATCCTTCTCACAGTCCTCACTTCCAAATGCTGGCTGCCAAGGCATTCTTCTACCCTTCAGCTGAGATTACTGGGGTGGAGCAAACATTGGCAGGCAGGAATAGGGAGAGCTGGGGTGGCCAGAACTTTCTGATTGAGCAATAGTGATTTAGCTTGGGACTTCCCACACTGTGCTCTATGACACCTGGGGTTCATTGGAAGAGCCCCAGGGGTTATGTGGTAGGAGAGAAAGACAAAGGCAAGGAGGATGTTGTTAGCTTCAGGTCCCCATCTGCACTTCAACCAGAGCATCACCACTTTTTCTGTTTGACATGAGTTTTTTTGATGCAGGGTCCCACTGCCAACAGGGAAAAAAAAAGGAGGCAGGATACTACCAATGTAGCTGTTTGCCAGCCCAGAGCCATATGTGATCTCCCCAAGAGAGTTCACTGGGGGCTGGAGTTCTGGACTGTTTTTGGACATCAATGCCAGTCCCATAAAGTTCACGTACAAGGGCTGGGAATAACTCTTCCTTGCTGTTCACATTCCTCTTGGTCTTTGGTCTTTTTTTCCCCCTTAACAATGAGTTAGTACCTATGACAATTTGCCACTATTGGCTAGATTTCAAAACAAGGCTTCCCATACCTATATGTCCCTGGCTGTTGCCAGGTGACCACAGGGCCTTGGACTCAGAAAAGCTGGAGTTAATAAACAAAAGAGAGGCCATATCAGCTGGATGAAGACCCAACCTCAAGAGCTGGGAATGCCTCTGTCTGGAACTGGATTCCCAAGTAGCCTGCTCTGCAGCTTCAGCCTCGAGGACTCCTCCTTTGTGCTGGTTCTACAGCTGAGTCCAAGGCACTGGTTCTGACAAGTCACTCAGTTCCAGAGATGGATGTTGAGATCCTCAGAGGGCCCACTGCTCTTTTTATTAGATCCAGTTAGGAACCATTTCACCTGTGTGGAAACCCCCAACCGAAAGAAGCTGGTTTCTAGGTATTAATTTTCCCTTTTCAGGAAGAGCAAGCAAGGTTCCCCACTGTGTGTTAATAAGTCAGAGTCCACATCTTCCCACTACAATAGATGTGTTTCTCAGTCCTCTCCCCAAATGCCTAGCACATAAGAGAAAAGCACTCTTCGATCTGCAACCTTGCTCTTTCTAAGCTTTGCTTCCCAGAAAGCTTTGAAATGAGGGGTTTGTCCTCTTCAACTTGATAGTACCCCATCACCATAAGCTTATGGCAAGGAATTCCATGAAATAATAGATTCCAGGAGGGGCTTGAGCCTTTCCTCTTTATCCCATTGGGCTAATTAATGGATTGATGGGCCAAGTTATAATTTTTTGGCCTCAAATCAGCTATACATTTGGCAACTTGACAGCCTGGCCCAGGGCTTTATTTTCCTATTTGTGAAACCCTTAGGGCTACGTTCCTCAGCAGACCATGGCCCCAAATAACCTCTTTTGTCTTCTGTTGATTAGAGAGGAACATAATGATATCCTGGCCATAGCTGACTGGGGACAGAAACTTTCCTTCTACCAGCTGAGTGGAAAACAGGTATGTAACTCTATTCAAACTCAGTAGGAGATACAGTTGCAGTCATCACAGTTACAATGTATTTTGGCCTTCTTTGATAGTGTTATTATTAATTATAAGTTATTATTTTTAGCTGCTGCTTATTGAGCATTTACAGAGATACTAGGTATGGGCTCAATGCTTTGCATACTTGATCTCATTTAATTTTCACAACATTGCCGTGAAGTAGGTACTTCCATTATCATTGCTTTAGAAAGGAGTAGACAAAGACACAGAGCAGGGAAAGAATATGCCCAAGTTCCGCCAGCTAGTAAACGATAGGGCCTGGGATTGAAACCTAGATCACTTTGACTTTTGTGCTTCACTCTTTCTCATGACCCTATCTTTTGGTATTTGCTTTCATTCATCCTTCAAACCTGAATGAGCACCCACTTAGGCTGCCTTCAACCTGTGGTAGGAGCAGCTGACATAGGGCTATGTAAATCAGAGCCTCTGCCCTGCAAGAGCTCACCGTCTAGGATAGGGGGCACACTCGACAGCAGGCATTCCCAGTGCAGTGTGGAGAGTTGTGCAGACACAAAAGAGGAAGACATCACTGCTTGTGGGAGATGGGAGATTTCATAGAGGTGACCTGAGAGCAGGTGAGCCTGAGTTTGCAAGAAAGAAAAGCTGAGCTTCTTGGATCAGTACATTTATGTTTTCATGTCTTTCACCAAATATGGGGGAATTTTGGCCATTATTTCTTCAAATATTTTTTCTTTCCCTTTCTTTCCTGGTCTTCTGAAGCTCCAGTTATACATATGTTAGACATTTTGATATTGTGACCAAGTCACTGAGCCCCTATCCTGTCTTCAGATTAGATATTTCTGTTGCTCTGTCTTCAACCTCATTGACTCTTCTCTTGTGTCCAACATTGTGCTAAAGTCCATCCAGTGGATTTTTTCTTTTAGTTGTTTTTCAGATCTAGAATTTCCATGGAGCTGTGGTGGCATAGGGAGCTCTGGTGGCATATTGCCTAAGGCATTTGACTGCTAACCAGAAGACTGGCGGTTCAAACCCACTAGCCACTCCTTGGAAGGAAGGTTGGGCAATCTACTTCCGTAGTGATACTGCCTCAGAAACAGGGAAGGGTTGCTATGAGTAGGATCCAACTCCACGGCAGTGTGTTGCATTGTTTTTGTTGTTTCCTACAGTTTCTATTTTCTTGGTGAATATGCTATGTTCGTTGTGACTGTATTTTCCTTTCTATCTTTGAGCATAGATTAGCATAGTGGCTAAGACACTTGCCTGCTAACCAGACGGCTGGTGGTTCAAACCCACCAGCCACTCCTCAGAAGGAAGATTGGGCAATCCTACTTCCGTAGTGATACTGCCTCGGAAACCCAAGGAGGGGTCGCTATGAGTCGGGTTTGACTCGACGGCACATAACAACAACAACAATTATAAAACTGTCATCTGTGAATCCAACATCTGGGTCACCTTGGGGTTAGTCTCCATTGATAGCCTTTTCTTTTGAATATGGTTCATATTTTCCTGCTTCTTGGAATGTTGAGGTGTATCCTGGACGTTATATGAATGATACCGTGTAGAGATTCTGGTTCTGTCATGCTCCTCTGAAGATTATTGTTTGTTTGCTTGTTTTAGCAGACAGCTTTGCTGGACTCAGAATTCAAATTTCATCTTTTTTCTGATGGTCAGCAGCTGAATCCTTTGTTCTGTTCTTTTAGCCTGAGGTAGGCATCTACCCACACATGTGTAGTTCAGAGGGTCTCCAGATACTCAGCAGAGTTTGCGTGCAGAATCTAGATGTTTCCTCTGACTTTTGCTTTTCTGTGATTTCCCATCTCACTTTTCAGCTGCTAGGGTCACCCCAAATTCTATAGCATGGTGCTGGGTAACTATAGAATATAGAATATATCCAGTGCCCTTACCTTCTTTCAAATGCATATAGTGCTTCAACTTCTGCCTGTTTTTGGTTGCCTGCTTAGTGCCTTCAAGTGGTTGTTTTTTATATTTGGCCCAGAGTTTATAGTTGTCACCTGCTGGAGGGCTGGTTCAGTAGGAACTACTGAGCCATCACCAAAAGCTACAGGCCTTCCATGTCATGATCCAAAGTAGTCTTTCATTTCTTGTTGGATTTACTAGCATTGTGTAAGTACTAGAGAAAGTTTTGTTTTTTCAGGCATTTGGAATTCTTAAAAAAGGAAAACTGAATATATTAAATTTATAGTTTCAGTTTAAGTTAGTTTAAGGGAACTAAGGTAGCATAGTGCCTAAGGTGCTTGACTGCTAACCAGAAGGCTGGTAGTTCAAACCCACCAGCCACTCCTCGGAAGGAAGGTTGGGCAATCTACTTCCGTAGTGATACCGCCTCGGAAACCCAAGGAGGGGTCGCTATGAGTTGGGGCTGGCTTGACAGCACATAACAACAACAACAAGAAGTAAGTTGTGCTTAGTTTACTTATACTAAATTTATAAATAGGAAAATATTTGTAAATTTAGAAACTTAGGGAGAAACCAGGTTTCTAGAGTTATTTCTTTAATAAATTGAATATTCATTTGACAATGATTATCACACACAGTCTTTTTACTCACAGAAGATACCCTCAGAGGCACCAGATAACCCTAGTGACAATAGGAGCTAGGCTTTAGTGGGGAGACGTCAGATGAAACTACAGTGAGAGAAGCACTGTGGTAGAGGCAGCACAGAAGGAGGTGGATATAAATCAGGCCTCCAGCTGGGAGATTAAGGGATGTTTATTGGAGGAGGTGACACCTGTGTCATGTGTTGAAAGCAGTGAAGGAAAGGGAAGGTGCTCTTCTGGCCCCTGGCCGGGGCTGGGGTGATGGAAAATGGCACCTGTGAGGATGTGGAAGCCTGAAAGAGCATGGTCCACTTGGGAAACTCAAGAATGTCATTTTGGTTGAGAGAAGGATTTTGGAGTCTGAGCTCAAGAGTTTGACCTTCATCCTAAAAGCTAAGGGCATACTATCAAGAAAGTGAAAAGACAACCCACAGAATGGGAGAAAAGTTTTACAAACCATGTATTTGATAGGGAACTTGTATTTAGAATATAGAAAGAAATATTATGGCTCAGTAATAAGATAGTCAATCCAATTAAAAAGTAGGCAAAGGGTCTGAATATCTGCTTCTCCAGAGGAGATATGCCAGTGATCACTAAGCACATGAAAGTCATTAGCAGTCAGGGAAATGTAAATCCAAAGTACAATGAAGTACCACTTCATACCCCCTGGGATGGAGAAATTAGAACCCTTATACGCTGTTGCTGTGAATTTAAAATGGTATAGTCACTTTGGAACATAGTTACCATATGACTCAGCAATTTCACTGTTAGATATGTATACTGAAGAGAAATGAAAACATGTCCACACAAAAACTTGTACATGAATGTTCATGGCAGCATTATTTATAATAAACACAAAGCGGAAACAACCCAAATGCCTATCAGCTGATGAGTGGACAAATAAAATGTGATCTAGCCATATAATGGGCTGTTATTCAGCAATGAAAAGGAAAGAAGTACTGATACATGTTAAACATGGATGAAACAGTCACAAAATACCACATGTTATATGATTTCATCTATATGAAATGTCCATAATAGGCAAAGCCATAGAGGCAGAAAGTAGATTGGTGGTTGCCAGGGGCTGGAAGAAGAGGGGAATGAGGAGTGAATGCTAATGGGTATAGGCTTCTTTTTTAGATGATGAAAATGTTCTAAAATTGGTTTTGTTGATGGTTGCACAACTCTGAATATATTCTGTGAAACACCATTGACTTGTATACTTTAAATGTGTGGATTATATGGTATGTGAATTATATCTGTTGTAAAAGAGAAAGCAGGATGAATATAGTTTTAAAAATAAAGGTCAATCTTTTGAATTAAATAAACGTAAGCTTTGTAAAATACTGTTGATGTTGTTGTTGTTATATGCCGTCAAGTCGGACCCGACTCATAGAGACTCCTCCTTGGGTTTCCAAGGCAGTATCACTATGGAAGTAGACTGAAGGAGGGAACCATTGAAGGGGCTGTCCTTGGAGAAGGACTTGTGACAGAAAGATCATCCCTGCCCTTCAGGGCTTTCTAGAGGGACCAGAAGCTAAGACACTCTTGTAGTGGTCAGTGGACCTGGGAGCCCTTCCTGCCTCTAGCAGTCAGGGATTGGTTCTGTGGAGGGGAGGAACAGGCTGTTCTTAGTGGAATAACACAGGAGACAAGGTTGGCCAGGTCTCCTGTCTTCCCTTCCTCCCATTAAAACCCCAAACCAAACCTGTTGTCCTAGTGTCAATTCTGACTCATAGTGACACTGTATGACAGAGTATAACTGCCTACAGGATTTCCTAGCATTGACACAGTGGCTGCAGTGATGGGCTCAGGCATAGCAAAGATTGTGAGGCTGGTGCAGGACCAGGTGGTGTTTCGTCCTGTTGCACCTAGGGTCACTATGAGTCAGAGCCAACTTGAGAGCACTTAACCCAACAGTCTTTACAGAAGCAGATTGCCACATCTTTCTCCCATGAAGCAGCTGGTGGGTTTGAACTGCACTTAACCGCTGCATTACCAGGACACCTTTCCTCCCACTAAAGTTGATGGGATGAGCCCTTAATTGTATTGAGACTATACTGGTATCTGTTCTTTTTCCTCAGATTGGGAAGGATCGGTCACTGAACTTTGACCCCTGCTGTATCAGCTACTTTACTAAAGGGGAGTACATTTTGCTGGGGGGCTCAGATAAGCAAGTATCCCTTTTCACCAAGGATGGTGTACGCCTTGGGACTGTCGGGGAGCAGAACTCCTGGGTGTGGACGTGTAAAGTGAAACCAGATTCCAACTATGTGGTAAGAGGAAGTGTCTTCTTTTGGGCCATTGCTTGAGGAGATGCTAAACATAAATCATGTTTGGCCAGTCAGATCTGCCATTTGCTTCTGGCAAATGAGAGGGCAGATTCCTTCTCCATAGAGTGCTGGAAATTGACAACTCTCTTTCACTCCAGGTGGTAGGCTGCCAGGATGGCACCATCTCCTTCTACCAGCTTATTTTTAGCACAGTCCATGGGCTCTACAAGGACCGGTATGCCTACAGGGACAGCATGACTGACGTCATTGTGCAGCACCTGATCACCGAGCAGAAAGGTAAAAGGCAGGTATGGCTCCCTCTGCCCATAAACATTGGGAAGAGGGACAGGTTGAGGGCAGGCCAAGTGAAGTGATAGTCTTTTAAAAATGGACCACTGGTTCTTGCTTTTTTTTTTTTTTAAATGAAAGCAGTAAACCCTCTCTCTAAAAAAATGTACACATAAAATTTTGAAAATAATTCTAAGGGGTACTTGGACTCTCCGGCTAAGGGAGAATAACTTGTGACAAGTCGGAGCAGAGTGGCTGACCTGCTTGGGTCTCTGTGGACCTGTATCCTTTTTTGAGTCACTTCTAGGTGTGTCTGCTCACCACAGTCTCCACTAGCCTCCTGGCAAGTCTTGCCCTTAAAATAGGCAGGTACAGTAGGCTGAGCACTGGTTTTGGGCAGAAGATCAGGGCTCTAGTCCTAGTAGAGTCAGTCCAAGTGCAAGCCTCATTCTCCTCCTCTGCCCACCAAGTGAAAAAAAAAACCAAACTCACTGCCGTGGAGTTGGATCGACTCATAGTGACCCCTCCTTGGGTTTCCGAAGCAGTATCACTACAGAAGTAGATTGCCCAACCTTCCTTCTGAGGAGTGGCTAGTGGGTTTGAACCATCAGCCTGGTTAGCAGTCAAATAGCTTAGGCTCTACGCCACCCGATCTGTACAGGCCCTGGCAGTGTGCAATGGACAGCACAAGTGGATTCTTAGCCCCTTTAATCAGGTGCCCACCAAGTAGCCATCTTGATTAAAGGGGCCAAGAATCCACTTGTGCTGTCCATTGCACACTGCCGGGGCCTGAAGAAATCTAGGTAGAGTGTGATCCCCATCTAGAAGCACCTCTGTTTAAAGAGCCTAGCTGTGATGGTATGAGTGTAGCCGCTTGGGAAGCTCCCCAGGGTCCCTTTTGGCCATGTGTTCTCCACCTACTCTGTAATGAGGGTATGAGAGCCTAGTGCATACCAGAAACATGTTGTCAAGGGTGATGGGTGGGAGTGGCCAGAGGTGAGGTCAGTCATTTAGGCACGGCCCAGATCTTCGGGGGCTATTAGTGCTGTGCAGAGGAGATTAGATTTAAGTTCAGCAAGTGATGATATTTTATTTTTCATACTTCCTTGTAAGCTTTTGACCACAAAAATTATATTGTATATTGCTTTGAATCCCAGTGCTTCACAGAGTTGATTGTACATATTAGACACTCTGTGAAGATTTTTTGATGAGAGTGTCTCACTTTAATTGCCAGTAACATTAAGTAAATGATAGCTTTTAATTTCTCTGCCTTGTACTTTACTTAACAACCTCTTGCTAGAGCTGGATTTTTTTTTTTTTTCTTTGACAGTTCGGATTAAATGCAAAGAGCTTGTCAAGAAAATTGCCATCTACAAAAATCGATTAGCTATCCAACTGCCAGAGAAAATCCTCATCTATGAGTTGTATTCAGATGACTCGTCAGACATGCATTACCGGGTGAAGGAAAAGATTGTCAAGAAGTTTGAGTGCAACCTCCTGGTGGTGTGTTCAAACCACATCATCCTCTGCCAGGTGGGCAGCAGCAGTGGGTGGGGTTGGGCTGAGTCAGCTTCATGCTTCCTTTCAGGGCAGGGTACCCAGAGCATGGCTTTACAATTGGTCGCTAGTGTCTGTTCATTGCTTTCATTTTACTAACATCTGGATGAACCAGAATCTACCAAAAAGCCATGGCCCGTAAATGGAGAATACTTTATTTGTATTGCAGAGCATTTTGTTATACTGGGATTAGATAATAGATATATTTTAATAATTTTAAACACAAATTGATGTCCCACAAAATGTAGATCAAATTTTTTTTTTAAACATTCACACAGAAAACTTTATGGTATCAATTCAAAAATAATAAAGTATTACTTCCTGTGAAGTTTTTTTTTTCCCCACAGAAAAATTTTTCTCAACGTAGAGTTTGCTTCCTAGAAAATATCTAGGTCAGTGCTAACAGAAATTTGGAAAAATTTTGAGAGAAGGCTAGCCTAGTATCTTTCTGAGAAGGAAAGATGGATTTGGTCTCACAAAGGCCTATAGAGAAGGAGCCCTGGTGTCACAATGGTTAAGGGCTAGACTGCTAACCAAAAGGTTGTTGGTTCAGACCCACCCAACTGTTCTGTGGAAGAAAGACCTGGTGATCTGCTTCCATAATGATTACATCCTAGGAAACTATGGGGAAGTTGTGCTCATCACATGAGGTCACTACTCGACAACACTTAACAATTAGGCCTATAAACCAAACCCAACCCAGTGCTACTGAGTAGATTCTGACTCCTAGTGACCCCACTGGGTTTCCAAGGTGGTAAATCTTTACAGAAGTAGACTGCCCAGTTTTGTTTCCTCATAGTAGCTGGTGGGTTTGAATCACCATCCTTCTGATTAGCAGTTAGATGCCTTAGGCACTATGCTACCAGAGCTCCTTAATAAGGCCTATGTTGTTATGTGCCATCAAGTCGGATCCGACTCATAGCGACCTCTCCTTGGATTTCCCAAGGCGATATCACTACGGAAGTAGATAGCCCAGTCTTCCTTCCAAGGAGTGGCTGGTGAGTTTGAACCGCCGGCCTTCTGGTTAGCAGTCAAGTGCCTTAGGTACTAGGCTACCAAAACTCCCAATAAGGCCTATAGGGAATGTTAAAATGGAAGAAATCCTTTAGGAATCACTGTATTCTCTCTCAAAGTCTAGAAGTAAAACAGCTCAGGGGTGCTCATAGGATAAGCATGAAAAACAGGTATAATTTTTTTTTTCCTTTTTTTTTTTATTGTGATTTGGGTGAAGGTTTACAGAGCAAATTCACTTTCTGTACAGCGGTTCACATATACTTTGTCTCATGACATTGACCACAGTTTACCACAATGCAACAGCTCCCCTCCCACTTCCTCCCCACAGTTACCTCTTCCCTGTGTCCATCCCTCCATGCACTCCTGCCCCGTGAGCTGTCTCCCTGTGCATAAGCAGCCCTTCTTTCTCCCATGATTGTTCTCTCCAAGGAGTGTATCTACTTGAGGTAAATGTTCAACTCATATGCCTGTCTTTTGTTTGGCTGGAAACCACAGGTGTGGGTTCAATTCTAGACCTGAAGAGCAGCTAGGGGCCATAGTCTCAGTGGTTCCACCAGGCTCTATCGGACCAGCAAACCTGGTCCCCCCCCCTTTTTTTTTTCTCCAAATGATTTTGAGTTTTGTTCCACATTGTTCTCCCTCTCTATCAAGGATCTCCTACATAGATCCCCTTCCAAGTGGATGACAGTGGTAGCCAGGCACCATCTAGTTCTTCTGTTCTCATAGTCATATAGGCTGCAGATCGGATGGTGTGCCAGTCGCTAGGATAAAACAGATATACTTTTAGGTGCTATCTCTGGCCGAGGTTGCTTGAAGTGTGCATTGACGATGTGAGCTCAATGGAAGAAACTTTCTTAATAGCTTAATGATGTCAGTCATGGGGACTAGATGGGGTTTGACTATTGAATGTGTAGATGTTTTTCCTCCCTTAGTTACAGGAAGACCTCCTTGGGAGCCCAGGAACACTTATTCTGCTGAATGCCCATGCTGACCTGGGTTTTCTTTCTAGGAGAAAAGGCTTCAGTGTCTGTCCTTTAGTGGAGTGAAGGAGCGAGAGTGGCAGATGGAGTCTCTCATTCGCTACATCAAAGTGATTGGTGGTCCTTCTGGAAGAGAAGGTCTGTTAGTGGGCCTGAAGAATGGGCAGGTGAGTGCTTCATTGTGTCATGTGCCATGTGGATTGCAGACAAAGGTGTCTAGACTAGTTATGACCCTATGATTGGAGGGCAGCCTAGAGTTTAGTTTTATTAGGACAGCTTCAGACTCAAGGAACAGTAGCCCTCTGATTCATAGCTGATCCACATGTGGCCAAATTGGCACCAAAGCCTCTGGGCTATACTTAGTGGAGCAGATCAATGGGCTTAAGGTCACCCAGAAGGTAGAGACTTGTTAGAGATGCAGCTTCAGTGGCTTTCTAGAGAGTGAGGCCCAGATAATAACTTAGGTCAGGGCCCTATTAGGGAAATGAATGGATTAGGGCAGTGTTTCCTAGCATGTATCTCAGAGAATGCGGGGCCCTCAGGATATCACTAGATGTTATGAGAAAATGGGTCCTTTAGTGTGGCAAATCTAGGTTACAGAAAGTTAAACAGATTTCTCTGTATATATATTCTTTTCTCAAAATAAGAAAAGTTCTAAGTGGGCCATGTGGAAATGTGACAGTGAAAATGTAATTGCATTAGCCTGAGAGCCAAGCTGTCTAGCAGATGGCTTGTGGCTGAAGCTTGTCAGGTCTTTCCTGGGCGTGGAAATCCGGGAATGTGAGAACAGTGGTAGCCACAGAGAAGCAATAGCAGAGGGGAAAGAGCCTGCTTCTCACAATAAGTAGTCACTTAGAGCGTGATGGCTGAAAGCATGGGCTTTAGGATCAGGACAGTCTGGTCCATGTGTGTGATTAGCTGCTCACTAGCTGTGTGACCCTGGAAAGGTCACCTCACCTCTCTGAGACTCAGGTTTAACAAATGAGAATTAATACCTGTTTTTGCAAGGCTTTCTTAAACAGTCACTAAATGGTAGCTGTCATTCTTATATTTATCCTTATAGCCACCTCTTGTGTTAGTTCATGACTCAGCTTTCTACTAGATGGAGCCCCTAACCCTGCAATTCAGGTCATGTCACAGATCCCTAACAAAATGTATATGAGTTGTTGAATGGAAAACCAATTGACTCTGTAAATTTCACCCAAATCACAATTAAAAAAAAAAATCTCCAGACTGAACAGACATTAAAGTGAGTCTGGTGTGTCTTGGGGCCTGCCATTACTTTGGCGACTTCTGATAAACTGTGTTTCTGGTCCCCTAAGGATAAGGGGCCACCTTCTTCCTTCTGATTAATATTTTTTCTCTGCATAGAGCGTCTAGTGAAGTTGGTGGGAGTTGTTCTTATAGAACACATGGGAATCCAACAGCCTGGCGGTGGTCCAGGGTCTTGTTGCCATGGTGATGCACACTTTTTTCTCTGAAATTTTGCCAGATCCTCAAGATCTTCGTGGACAATCTCTTTGCCATCGTACTGCTCAAACAGGCCACAGCTGTGCGATGCTTGGACATGAGCGCCTCCCGCAATAAGCTGGCCGTGGTGGATGAAAATGACACATGTTTAGTGTATGACATTCACACCAAGGAACTGCTCTTCCAGGTGAGGTGTAAGAGAGCACCCGAGAATGTGGTCCTTTTGATTAAAGCCTTTCCTCAGGCTTTCCAGTCACTGAGGAGATGCTCGTGCCTGGCTCACAGACCTCTGGAGTGATGGTGAGATGTAGAGGCTGACCACAGGCTTCAGATATGAAGCCCCCTGCATGCCCTGTGCCTCCCACTCACTAGCTGTGGGGTCCTGTGCAAGGATCTCTGAACTTTGTAACATGAATGAGCAAATGACACTTTTCTTCCATGGTTATTGTGAGCAGCAAATGGGATTATCTAAGTGGAGCATATTGTATACTTTCAGTAAATGGGTTAATATGATGATGGTGTTCTTTTTAAGAAGTGTGCTTTGCGCCTGTTGGGGGCTGGCTGCATCTATGAGTGACCTAAGATGCAGTAAGGAAATGGGATCGATTTTATCATCTGAAAGAAGGGAAGGGATGGGGAGGAGGTTCTCCCTTCTACTATTTCACAAGGATGTTACGAGTCAGCAAAATGCAGAATGTGTCGACCTTTTGGGGCATAGGTATTGTTTAAATGTCGTTCAGTCCTGTGGCTGGAGGAAGTGTGTCACTGAAGAAGAATGCCCAGCAGCTCCAGAGCCAGTAACTGCTGGCTTTCGGCTGCACTCTGGCCGCTCTGGGCCTCTGAAGGGCTTTCTAACTGGTCATTGCTGGTTTGCCTGAAGTGAGTTCCTCCCGAAGTTGGAACCTCTTCTAGGGAACTGCCTCACTCAGTTGGAAGGGGTTACCTGGCTACTGCTAGCCCAGAGGTGACTCCCGATTGATATAAACTCACTTAGTTCACTGGGGAAGCAGAGTGCTTTAGGGAAAAGGCTTTGCCTTCAGACAGACCTGAGCTCTAGTCCTGCCTTCATTCCTTACTAGATGATTTTGAACAAGTTGGTAAACCTCTCAGAGCCTCAATTTCCTTATCTCTAAAATGGAATAGTAATCATCCCTTCACAGAATTGCTAAAGAATTAAACAAGATACCATAGTGCCTAGTCCAGTTCCTGGCACAGGATAGGGCCCTAAGTATTACTTTCCTTCTCCCCAGCCTGCCCCCCATGTCCCCGGAGGTAGGTTAGCAGGGCCCTGGCTGTGAGTCTGGGTCTGAGCCCAGAACCTGGTGCTGAGTGGGAGGGTGTGTGTTCTCCCCAATCCCTTGATTGCACAGACATAGGATAGAGAATGAAATTCTCAGACCTTGTCAGGAGACATGAACATTCTCAACTACTCTTTTGCCTACTAGCTTTTTCTCCTCTCCACTGCCCCTTGCCAGCTATATTGTTTTTTCTCATTATAAAAATAATCCATGCTCATTATGAGAGAGTCAGACTGGCAGAAAGATATGAATGTCTGCTGGTCCCTAGGGCTCCAGAGCTGAGCAGAAAAGTCTGAGAGGAGGTGTGTATGGGGGTACCTCCCAGGGTGACTGTGTTTTTACAATGTGTAAATTGTAACTATAGAGACAATATATTATTTTCTAATTTTAAAAATAACTTGCTATTCATTTTCTTATTATAAAAAACAATAGTTGTTCATGACCAAAAAAAAAAAAAATCAGGCAAACAAAAAAATGAATTACAAAGCACCCACAATTCCATCCATTCACCCAGAAACAATCACTAATCCTTTGGAATATATTCCTATAAACCTTGTTCTGTGTATAGCTATATATATTTTTTCTTTAACAAAAGTGTGATAGCACTTTGCTATTTTTTTCTACTTCTTGTTATTATTGTCTTAACTATCATCAAGTTGGGCCTTGGATTCATGGCAATCTCATACAAAACAGAACAAAACTCCTTCCTGTTCTGTGCTATCTTCTTTATTGGTTGCATATCACACTGTTGTGATCCATAGAGTTTCGCTGGCTGATTTTCAGAAGTAGATAGCCAGGCATTTTTTCCTAGTTTATCTTAGTTTGGAAAGGATCTCTGGTGGTGTAGTGGTTAATGCATTTGTTTGCTAACCAAAAGGTTAGTGGTTTGAACCTACTAGCTACTCTGTGGAAGAAAGATGAGGCATTCTGCTTCTGTAAACATTCACAGCCCTTAGAAACCCAATGAGGGTCACTATGAGTCAGAATTGACTCAATGGCAGTGAGTTTGGTTTGGTTTTTTTGGTCTTAGTTTGGAAGCTCCACTGAAACTCTTTCAGCATCATAACAAGTAAGCTTCCAGTGACAGGTGCTGGCTGTGCATGAGGGGCATTGGGTGGAAATCACACCTAAGTCTTCCACATGAATTTTACCACTGAGCCAGCAGTGCTCCTTTCCAGGTAGTGGTAATAATTTTTTTCCAAAGTAATAATATGCTTATTCAGAAATTCAAACAATACAGAAGTGCACAGAGGAGCTTACATCTGTGTTCTCTGTCCATTTCTTTCTGATCCCCTTTTCCTCTTTTCCCCCTCTATCCCACTGTTAGCAAACTAGAGGGATCCAGTCTTTAGAAAGAGTGCTTGAATGAAACGTGGAAATGATGCCAAAGCCCAGGGTAGTCTGACAGAATCTCATCATCCCTGTGCCCTAGGAACCAAATGCCAACAGTGTGGCCTGGAACACCCAATGTGAGGACATGCTTTGCTTCTCTGGAGGAGGCTACCTCAACATCAAAGCCAGTACCTTCCCTGTGCACCAGCAGAAGCTGCAGGGCTTTGTGGTTGGCTACAATGGCTCCAAGATCTTCTGCCTCCACGTCTTCTCCATGTCAGCCGTGGAAGTACCCCAGGTAACCCGGGGTGCCTTTTGGCTCTTGAGAATGGCAGGACAGACATGGCTTAGGTAGCCTGGCCCCTTGCTGGTATTTTGAGGAGGGAATAATGAGGAGAGAAAGAGGAGAGATAAAAGTGACAGCTAGGATATAATGGAAGGCACTCTAGCCTTGGACCTAGAGCCCTGTTTCACCCTGTGCAACCTGTATGGCTTTGGGTAAATAGCTCAACCTCACTGAGCCGCCTCCATGTCTTTTTGATCCTTCCTTCCTGTAAATGTATATTACTGAGAGTCATGTATGGGGCAGAGTGAAGTGAACCAAGAAAGCTGGGAGTCTAATAGGGTATAAGCGGTCACACGGATAATGGTGGGGTGTGTGTGTGAGAGAATATGTGTGGGATGGGTGTATGGGCTGCAAGGGCATCCTGGGTCTGTGTGCATAAGTCCTCTGAACTAGGAGGAGGCCAGAACAGAAATGAGGGACTTGAGTGTGGAGCCATGGAAAGAGGGGAGGGCAGAAGCACAGAAGGACAGCAGAGATTGACAACCCAGTGGTGGCTGGCCTCATCACAGCTGCCCCCAGCTATCTGCCTGCCTGACAAGAGAATCATGTTCACAGTAGAACTGTCATAAAATAGAGATAAGCTTCAAGAACTCCCGCCTCAGCATCCCATCCTCAAGAGAAAATTATTCTGAAATATATTAGACTATATTCATCCATGTATGTAATACGTGTATATATAAAACAAGTGTGTACTTTTATGTGAACATTTTTAAACAAGAATGAGATCATACTGTGAATATTGTTCCATGGCTTTTGTCTAAGTATGGTGACCTATGGATGAAGCCTACAGATTTCCTGTACTTACTTTACTGAATGTGGACTGTGAACAAGAAATAGAGACATTTCACCACCTTTCTGCATTGCCATCTTTTAATCTAACGTAACATTTATGTATTGCAGATACATCACTTTGTATGAATTACTGGCTATAAACTAGTAATGTAAACTAATAATCTGGCTTTTTCACTCAGCAGTCTACGGAAACCTGGCTCCATGTCAATAAATGTACTTCAGCATTTACAAATATTAAGATAACTGTAGATACACATGCAATTGTAATAAGTGATACAGAGAGATCCTGTCTACATTTTGCATAGTTTACTTCAGCGGTAACATTTTGCAAAACAGTAGCATAGTATCACAACCAGGATACTGACATTGATACCATTCACCCATCTTGTTCAGATTGCCTCAGTTGTATTAATACTTGTGTGTGTGTGTATGTTGAGTACTATACAATTTTATCACCTGTGTAGGTTCATGTACCCACCGCCAAAGTCAAGATACAGAGCACTTCCAACATGAGCCTCCTGTTGTGTTGCCCTTTTGTTACCTCCACCATTTCCATCCTGTCCTTCTCTTGGCACTGTTTAATGGCTGCATTTTATCACATCATATGGATGTTCTACAGTTTCCTCAACCAGCTCCTATTGGACATTTATGCTGTTTCCACCCTTTTTTACTATTGTAAATAGTCCTGCAGTGGCCAGCCTCCTTTCTAGTTAAGTCTTTGCATCTGTCCCTGGTATCAATTCTTAGAGGAGAGGCTGCTGGGCCAACGGCTATGTACCTTTGAGTGATTTTAAAACATATTAATAGAGTGACCTTCAGCTGGGTTATATCAATCTGCATTCCCTCCGTACAACTCACCTTCACTTATTTCCCATTCCCACATCGTGGCTACTTGTAAAGGGCCAAGCTGGAGACAGTTTCTTCATGTACACTGATAGTGCCCTCATTACTAATTGCTATAGGAATTATAGGAGCTCTGGTAGCATAGTGCCTAAGGCTACTGCTAACCAGAAGGCTGGTGGTTCAAACCCACCAGCCACTCCTCGGAAGGAAGATGGGGCGATCAACTTCCATAGTGATACTGCCTCGGAAACCCAAAGAGGGGTCACTATGAGTCGGGTCCAACTCGAAGGCACATAACAACAACAACCACATAGGATTTATAGGTGGCATATGATCAAGAACTAATGGTATTGAAGGAAGAAGTCAAAGCTACATTGAAGGAATTGGTGAAAAACAAGGCTCCAGGAATTGACAGAATACTCATTGAAATGTTGCAACAAATGGATGCCCTGCTGGAGGCACTCATTTGGCTATGCCAAGAGATTTGGAAGACAGCTACCTGGCCAACTGACTGAAAGAGATCCATATTTGTACCCATTCCAAAGAAAGGTGACCCCACAGAATGTGGAAGTTATCAAACAATATCATTAATATCACCTGTAAGTAAAATCTTGCTGAAGATAATTGAAAAACAATTGCAGTAGTATATTGACAGAGAACTTTCAGAAATGCAAGCTGGATTCAGAAGAGGATGTGGAATGAGGGATATCATTGTTGGATGTCAGGTGGATCTTGGCTGAAAGGAAAGAATACCAGAAAGATGTTTACTTGTGTTTTATTGACTATGCAAAAACATTTGATTGTGTGGATCATGACAAATTATGGATAACATTGAGAAGAATGGGAATTCCAGAACACTTAATGGTGCTCATGAAGAACCTGTACGTAGACCGGGAGGCTGTTGTTCAAACAGAACAAGAGGACACTGCGTGGTTTAAAATCAGGAAAGGAGTGCGTCAGGGTTGTATCCTTTCACCATACCTATTCAATCTGTATGCTGAGCAAATAATCCAAGAAGCTGGACTATATGAAGAAGAATGTGGCATCAGGGTTAGAGGAAAACTCATTAACAACCTGTGATATGCAGGCGACAGAACTTTGCTTGCTGAAACTGAGGATGACTTGACACACTTATGATGACGATTGGAGACTACTACAGTCTGCAGTATGGATTACACAATTTAAAGAAAACAAAAATCTTCGTAACAGGATCAATAAGCAGCATCATAGTAAATGGAGCAAAGATTGAAGTTGTCAAAGACTTCGTATTACTTAATTCTACAATCAACACCAATAGAAGCAGCAGTCAAGACATCAGATGACATATTGCATTGGGCAAATCAGCTGCAGAGGACCTCTTTCAAGTGCTGAAGAGCAAAGATGTCTCCTTGTAGATTTAGGTGTGCGTAACCCAAGCCATGGTATTTTCATTTGCCTCTTATGCCTATGAGAGCTGGACAATGAATAAGGAAAACCAAAGAAGAGTTGATGCTTTTGAGTTGTGGTGTTGATGAAGAATACTGAAAGTACCATAGTCATGGTCTGCTAAAAGAACTAATAAATCTGCACTGGAAGAAGTGCAGCCAGAATGCTCTTTGGAGGTGAGAATGGGCAGACTTTGTCTCACTTACTTTGGTCATGTTGTAAGAAGAGACCATTCCCTAGAGAAGGATATCATGCTTGGTAAAGTGGAGAGTCAACAAAAAAGGTGAAGGCCCTCAACAAAATGGATTGACACAGTGGCTGCAACCATGGGGTCAGGTATACCGGGGATCATGGGGCTGGCACAGGACCAGGCAGTGTTTTGTTCTGTTGTACAGAGGGTTGCTGGCAGTCGGGGCTGACTTGATGGCACCGAACAACAATATAGGAATTACTGTGAAAGTCCATTCTTCCATCAGTGCCTGATATCGAGCAGTTACTTAATAAATATCAGTCAGGTTCAGATCTGAGAAAAGAGAAAACAGCAAGAAAAGGAAGGAAGATGGGTGGGAGAGGGAGCAAGGACAACTCCTTCCAGGCTGCTTCCCTGTAGTCCTCATCTGCTCCCATCACGGCCCTCATACCACAACCACCAGAAGCCCAAACTCCCTCAACTGTGCTTGACCAGGCTAGGCTTAAGAAAGTTTTTCTCCCAAGATTGCCATCCTGACCTCAAAAATAAATGCAGTTTGCCTCTCCCTGACTTTGCCTTGCCAGAAGGAGTCAAAGGGGAGGCTGGGGCTTCCTGTGCCAAGACCTTGAGCTTTGGTAGCCAGAGTCTCCCTCAGGCCATCCTGCTGATGCAGCAGCTTGGAACTGCCAAGAGTTAGAAAAGTAGCCTCAAGACAAAGGCTGTTTCTCTGTCTCCTCTGCCTCCAGCCATCCTGTGGTTTTGGCTGGAAAGGAGGGAGAAAGCATCAGACCCACTCTTGGGATTTCTGGTTTCCTTTTGAAATCTACATCATCTTGTGCAAGAATCTCTGGGCTGCCAAGTAGGATAGCAAGTCCTAGTTGGATTTCCTGGTTGCAGGGAGAGGAGCTAAAGTAAGTCCCTGTGTCATGAATGTCCTACTTACAGACAACTCACAACTTGTACTTCCCCTTTAATTCGCATAAACTTGCCCCAACTTTGCAATGATTGTTACTCGCAACAAATTCATCATTATAATCACCTTCACTTGCTACATGTGCTGCTTTTAAATCATTGAAAAAGCTTCAAGCCTTTTCTTACACTAATCAAAACCAAACCCACTGCCATTGAATTGATTCCAACTGATAATGACCTTATTAGGACAGAGTAGAACTGCCCCATAGGGTTTCCAAGGCTGTAAATCTTTATAGAAGCAGACTGACTCATCTTTCTTCCATGGAGCAGCTGGTAGGTTTGAACTGCCAACTTTTTGGTTAGCAGCCAAATGCCTTAACCACTACGCCACCAGAGCTCCTTTTCTTGCACTAAAGTAGGGCTAAATAAGAACCATATGTACCCATTCCGACTTACCTACAAATTTAAAGACACGCTAGGAATGGATCTGGGGACTATCTGTAGTGACTTCATGTTTGGAATGCAATAGAGAGATACGAATTATAGTGCAGGGGGGTATGGTTCAGTTAATATATTTTAAAATTCTTGTGACTCACTCTCAGCTTGTATCTCCCAGGCAAGCCTGAGTGTTAACCATTAGTGGTGGTCCTGATGATATGCCTCTCTGAGTCCCCTCCCACTCCATGAGGCATTCAGCCTGAGTTGAAGCCATGCTATTCAGGGGAAGGAGCCCTGGTGTCAAATCTTGCCTCTGCCTTGAGCAATTCAGCTCACCAGTTAGGTCTTACTTTTTTTCCTGTGAATGGGGCTAGTTTCTGGCTTTACCTGGCCCTATTCCTATTATGTATTTCTATTACTATTACAGTTGTGGAGTAGCAAACATTACAAAACAGAGTGAGCATACATAAGTGGGGGAGTTTAGAAAGGAAAGAGCATGGTGGATGGGAAGTTTGAGAACCTTCTAGGAGGTGGTAAAACTTGGTCTGAGCCCTGAGAAGGATGAAAGGCAGAGAGGAGCAGGGATGGTGTTTCAGAAGAGGCAAAGGTGGGCACTTCTGGGAGCTGGTGAGGAGCCGATGTGAGCAAGCCTAGGGTAGGCTGTGATTGATTGGGCTCAATTTTTGCCCAGTGCTTTATCATTTTCAAAGCACCTCTCTTACTTGTCCAAGGTAGCTCTTGAACTGCGCAGGGCAATCTAAAGAGAAGTTAATAGATTTGTCCAAAAGCCACACAGGTAGGATGGGGCTGATACCAAGTCCATACCCTACTGTTACCTGAAGGGAGGGAAGGTGGGCTGGGCTGATGTGGGAGAGAGAAGCACTCAGAAACACCACATCTTACTGTCAGAGGGTAGACAGGCTTAAAAGGGGGAAAAAAAATCTTTCAGTGCTAAAATGAAAAACTGGGACAGGAAATTTCAGTTAAAAGCCCTAAATGGAGAAAATAGCACTCCCAGCTCCATATTTGAGAATCATTAGCACAGAAGTACTGACTGATTGATCTTCTCTACCCAGGAATCCAGAAACAGAGGTGCTGCTTCCTTAAGCCACATTGACTGGCCTAAAACAAGGGCAGGGCCTTTTGTTGTTAAAGACACCCAGGCCCAGCTTTCCTTGTTCACAAGTGTGCACGTGCACACAAACACGCACTGAGGGCAAGAGGGAACACAGGACCTGGAGTCATTTGGCCCTAGGCTTCAGCCCTGTACCTTCCATTTGCCAGTCCTTGGACAAGTCAGTTGCCTTCTCTGGGTATCTGTCTCCTGGCTACAAATCAGGGAGTAGCAATACCTATTACACAGGGCTGTTGGGACTGATCCAAGAGCACTTTATAAACCTAAAAAGGACAAGTTATTAGGACAACTCATAGGTATTCACAGTTTGGCAGCTCCATCTGGTAGGAGGGAGTTGGTTCCCAGGGTCAGAGAACAAGGGGACTTATCTCTAGAGCCCATGTATATAACCTGGGGCAAGTCACTTAACCTTTGTAGGGCTCATTCCCTCTAAGCAGAGGGCCATGCAGACCCCTTCCTTACAATGGTGTGCTCATCCCTTCCACAGGCATAGATGTGGGTTTGCTGAGGGAGATGAGGAAAACCCAGCCGCTGCCTCAGGTTGTACATAGGTTTGTGGGGAGACAGACAGGCTGAGATCTGGGCAAAGGGCAGAGACTCCTTTCCTGGGGGTGGGTGCTGAGGGATCAGGGAAGACTTTCCTGAAGAGGTGACATTTTAATAAGGCCTTGGAAACCAAGCTGGTGTTCTCCAGAGATGAAGAGTGGTAAGGCCTGGAGGTGGAGGAAGGCAGATGGTGTTGGGGAACATGGGTGGAAAGTTTGTGTGGCTGACACTTATGGCTTGGCTGTGAAAGGGGGTGGCAGAATAGAAGGCATGGAAGGGTGGCTGGTAAGGCTGAGAGGGTACTGTTTAATCAGATCTGGAACTGGCTTTATATGAATCTGACTCTTTTCATTGCTCTGGAAACATTGTTCTTTTATTCTTTTGATGAAACCCTGCAGTCTGCTCCAATGTACCAATACCTGGATCGGAAAATGTTCAAAGAAGCCTACCAGATCGCTTGCTTGGGTGTGACAGATACTGACTGGCGTGAACTGGCCATGGAAGCTCTAGAAGGATTAGAGTTTGAAACAGCAAAGAAGGTAAGCATCTAGTCAGCATGAGATGGAATTTGGTCCTTGGAGAGTCCCATCAGGAGTCAGAAGGGGTCTAGGTGACATCGGGAGAGGCAGAAGCATACTACAGCGGCTCTGGAGTAAGACTGACCTGTGTTCAAATCTTGACTCAGCCACTTCCACATGGTGACCCTGAGCAGGTAACAGCCTTTCTAAGGCTGCTATTTGTCAACCAAAGGTGATGATAGGAGCCAGCTTTACAGACTTGCAAGTCTATAATGCAATAATGCATGTAAAGCCTAACAGGATAAGCATTCAATATAATCCAGCTGTCACTCTTATTTAGCTATTATTTATGTAAAGCACCTAGCTAAAAGCCTGCCAGATAATAGGTACTCAATAAATAGTGTCTTTTATCATTGGCATAGCATTAGGCCATTTATTAAATAATACTACTCTTCACAGCACTCTGCTAAATACAACGGAGGAAGATGGTCAAGCTCTCTGAATCTGAGAGAAATGTGGTCACTTGCCACATACCTTCATGGCAGCACAGACATGATTCATGGATTTGATTCATGCTGCCATTTCCTGGCTTATCTATTAAAACTACAGAAATGGCTGAAAATATTTGACCCTATTCTGCACCTTAGAAAAAGCCTAGCCATGTTTTTGAGTTGGGTTTCCATCTAGAACTTGAGGTGAGGGAAGGAAGGAATAGTTTCCAGCCCCATCTTCTCTCCTCCTTTCCTGCTTTCTCTATCCTCCCACAGTCAGTCAGACACTTATTTTGCCCATGCTGCTGAGTTGCTACTGAGGAAGTCTATGAAGCATGTCTATGGTACGTCAGGACTTCAAGCACAAAAGCAGATGGGTCAAGACCAGGCTGGGACTCAGAGGCCTGGACGAGAACCAGCTCTGCTGTGTAGTTGCCATGTGGCCTTGGTCTCCCATTTCTAAAGTGCCTTACACAGTGTTATTGACTTAAATAAGATGCTTGCAATGGGATTTTAAACCTGGAGGTGGTTGTACATATGCTAGCTAGCCATTGTTAAAACAAGTAAAATGACTGGTATATAAGCACAGTGATCTCTATTATGATTTTAAGTCTATACTGAGTGTCAGAAAAGTAGTAATAGAGGGCTTTAAGCATTCAGAGGAGTAAGTAGGAATCATTCCATGGAAGCATCCCTCTCCTACCCCATTCAGTAGTGCCAGGTAGGACGAAGAATAACAAAGCACTGGGATGAAATCAGGGAGCTCTGGTAACGTAGTACCTGAGGCATTTGACTGCTAACCAGAAGGCTGGCAGTTCAAGCCCACCAGCCACTCCTCAGAAGGAAGATGGGGCAATCTACTTCCATAGTGATACTGTCTTGGAAACCCAAGGAAGAGTCACTATGAGTCAGATCTGACTGGACAGCAGTGAGTTTGGTTTTGGGTTTTTGGGATCAAATCGGAAGTCCCCCGCTAGATGGTCTTCCCTTCAACCCAGGAACTAAGCAGCTGCTACATCTTAGTATCACCCCTGCCTTGTCTAATACCTTAGATGTTTAAAGGGCTCAACATTTAACTCCTGCCCTGCATCCCCTCAAACATTCCCTGAGGACAGAAATGACTGTATTAAAGCTGAAAGATTTTGACCTAGACTAGAACTTTATCATTTTATTCAAATCTCAAATCCCCAGGCCTGCCTTTTTCAGCTTTGCCAAGTCACTCATTAATGTGATCTGGAGCTGTGGTGGGTGGTTCCCAGTGATGGCCCAGCCTCTCCACTAGATGGTAGAAGAGAGCTGCTTAGTGCCTGGACATTGCCCTGTTCCCACACTTCCACTCGTTGAGCTTATTCACCGGCCTCGTGACTGACCGCTGTTGACCAAGGCGCTCCTGACTCTGTAGATTGTCTGGGCTGAAGGAACGCAGACACAGCTTTCTCATGGGTGAATTTAGAATCCTAGCCTAGTAGAACTCCAAAAACCTTGGAGAGGCATCACTAGCATGACCATTTCCACAAAGAAGACTGGAAGCCCAGAGGCAAGGAGAAGCAGGCTCAGTGCCCACAGCTGGAAAGCCCCAGAGCTACGTCTGAGGCCTGGAATGCCCCTTCCCCTTTCCTTCTCATGCCATTTTCTCCTCTCATGCTGCTTTAAGGAAACCCAGATCTACAAGTTTTGCTTATCAGAGCTTTAAAGTGTAACACGTGTGCTCTTAGCCTTCTGTCCCTTTGCTCGTGTGATGCTTACCTTACCCTTGCCAGGACTTCCTCTTCAGGAATTCCCAGTTGACAGGTTCCTAGCCTGCGACACCTCACTTCATCCTGCCTCCTGCCATTGCCCATGCTCATGCTACATTCACAAAGGGATCTTGTTCGTACTTCGACAGCTTTTAGCTCAGAGAAATTTAGTGATCTACTTGTTTGCCCACTTCCGCTTCTAAAATGTGAGCTTTTGAATGGAGGAGAGTGGGCAGGGTCCCCAGGCCCTGGCAGGGTGCCTGGCCCTAGGCGTTAAAAAGATAGAGTCACACTGCGGTATGCTTGTGAGCCAGCCCAAGGCTGATGACTTACTCATTCCCCGGGGCCTGTTCAGGATAGAGGATGTCATGCAGCTAAGTAGAAACTTCAAGTGGCCAGAGTGTTCTTCAGCATTTTAAATTCTAAGGGCTCCTAGCGCTGCCTCTGGGTGTATGTCAGCTGATTAAAATGGGAACAGCTAAGGAAGCACAGCTGGATGGAAACGTGGCAACACAGCCTGTCAGGGGACTGTGCTCTTCTAAACCCCTTTAAGAATCTGTAAGGAGAAGAGGCTGCCTAAGGGGGCTGCCTGGAAAATTCTAGAAGCCCATGGGTTAAAGTTCCTGGCTTTAGGAGTCCTAGGCTAGGGTGGAACTTTTAGAATTTACATAAGAGTTTGCCTTCCAGGGACTTGGAGTGATTCATTCCCTGCTTCCCCCCTCTTCCCAGAAGCCATCTCTATTCCTTCTCAACTTTCCCTCCCCTCCCGCAGCCTGTATGGGCTCTGGGTAGGCCTGCATGGGCTCTGGGTAGCCCATGTTTATTACACACATACACCCCACACACACACCTCCTCTGGTAAGCGTAGCTGTCTCCTTTCCCAATCACTGTGCATGCTTGCAGCCTCTGAATTGGGTTTCCATTTAGAACCTGAGGTGAGGGAAAGGAAGTAATGGTTTCTGGTTCTATCCTCTCTCCTCCCTTCCCTCTTACATTTCACCCATTCATAGTGTCAGACGGGCTCATTTTTCCTGTGGAATAGAGGCTCTCCCAGGCAGGCATCATCACAGAGTACACTATCATAGTTTTATTTTACCTAATCCCAAAGTGATTGATTCAGGCAGGAGTTTGCTGTATTTTTTTATAGGGTAATCCCAGGGATAAAGGCTTGTCTCATGGGGTGGTGTAACCCACATGTATGCACAATGATTAATCAATGCCTGCCTTTTTTCCCCTCCTTACTGGCTCACTCTCTAAAGCTTGACTCCCTATTCCCAGCAGATCAACCCCTTTTGAAGCCCAGAAGGAGCTGATTTTATTCTTCATTTCTTTGTAGGCTTTCACCAGAGTGCAAGACCTCCGATACTTAGAGCTCATCAACAGCATTGAGGTAAAAGACAAACCAAGTATCCTTCCTTTTCAGGGAAGCACAGACTCAGGGTCAGTGGGTGCTAGCAGCTCTTGTAGTGAGGAGAGCCCTGAGAACATGTAAAGAGCCCTCTGGGCCTCGGGGACAGAGTAACCACGTAACAGGAACAGTATACTGGAGTGGGAAGGGCCTGGTGAAATGCCATGTGGATTCCTGATCTCTCCAAGCTTTGATTAAGTAGGATCTCAATAATGAGTTTTCATCCTGTGGTGGCTTTTAGCTGGATGCCATTTTCTGTTGTTTGCCATCTGACTCATAACAACCCTATACGACAGAGTAAAAGTACCCCTTAGGGTTTTCTAGGCTGAGATCTTTACATGAGCAGATTACCAAGTTTCTTCTCCCATGGAGTAGCTGGTGAGTTTGAACCACTGACTTTTTGTTTAGCGGCTGAGTGCATTAGAGGCATTGCCTAGTCACACATGATCCACACCCAGCCCCAGCAAAGGGACTCTGAAAAGTGAGCATGTTGAAATGAGCTCCCAGGGAACACTGCATCTGGTAAGAGGGAGTTGGTTCCCAGGGTCAGAGAACAACAAGCCCTTCACACCACTCTTGGCCGAGCATACTAGCCTTGTCAAGCAAACCAGATAGGGTTGGGGTGGCCTAAAGAAGCTGGTCAGTCAGCCTGGTGAAGGACCATGTTCCGAATTTGTGTTGCTCAATGCTGTCTGGCTGTCTGTAAATAGGCATACATATTTTCTCTCCTGCACAGATTTATTGTGAAGTTATGAGAATGTGAGATACATTTGAATTCCCATATGGAAGCAGTGAGGAAATCAGCAAAATGTCTTGTCCTTCAATTCCGTTCAGCATAATAAACACTTGCTGTGGGCCAAGTCCTGTGCCAAGCTCAGTGGGGAAAGAGAGGAGGAGGAGAAAGGCCTGCAGGAGCACACAGCCTGCTCAGCCTAATAATAGTTGCCATCCGTTGAGTGTCTGCTCTGTGCCCTGTGCTTGATCGATGTGTACATTATCTTAAGTCTCTACAACTCAGTAAGGCAGGTGTCATTAGTATGGCCCAGAGAGGCTACGTCACCTACCCAAGGGCCCATCTCCAAAAGCTGCATTGGAATTGACTCCCAGTTCTGTGTGTTTCCCAGGCTCCTGCCTTCTTTGCTCAACGCCAGGCTGCCCTCTGAAGAAACTGCTTCTGGTGTACCCCTCCCTACCTGTGGCACACCCAGCACTGCTATGAGGAGGGTCTGCTCTTCTGTAGCTTACCTGACAGAGTCCAGGGTTTGTTCTGAGCCATCTACCTGTGGTGCCCAGTGCCGCTGATGATCAGTGGCTTTCATTTGCGAATCAACTGGCCAGGACCCAGGCATCTTCATCTAAAGCCCTGGAATCTAATTTTTCTCTATGCAAAAGATAACTGAGCTCTGAGAGGACCAATTCTTGTAATTTATCATGTCTTACTGAGGTCGTAACGCCTGCCTATTCTAACATGCTGTGAGCTGGGGAGTCAGTTAAAATAAACTTCTAAGAATTGTGTCTTGAAAAAGCATAAACTGAGTAAGGATCCATTTGGGCTCCTCTGAGGCTTGCTTTTAAGTCATCAGCATCATTCCAGAGAACTGTAATTCCTTAGTAGGTTCCTTTTGGATAGATGAGATGTTACTGTATTTACCAAGAGGCAAATATGCCCCTATTTCTGTGTGCATACTGGGTATGCATAAATTGTTTTATTAGTAAGGGTGACATTCTGTAGCCTAGAATTGAAATGGCCTCAATCCTATGCCTGCTGAAATCTATTTCTTGATCTCACTACAAAGTTTTAATTCATTTCCTACTATTAGGATTTCAGTCTTTTGACTGATTAGCCCAAACTATGTGCAGGTTTTTTTTTTTAATTATTTCTGTCAGTGAGGAAGCATGTTACTTCCAGCTGTTAAAACTTTCACCAGCTTGTCTAGGAGTTTGATTCAATGTCTCCTCTTCCTCCGCTGTGATACACTTGTAGAAAACAAGCAAAAGGAAACTGCTGGAAATGAGAGATTAGGTGCTATTGAGTGTTTACAAATTCTTGAGCTGTAGACTAATGAATGTTCCCTAAAACAGAAGAAAGGAGTATGGTGGATTACTTGTCTTCATTCTGAGGATTACTAAGCATCTGTGTGTGTGTATGTGTGTGTACAGGTGTGTCTTTGGAGACAGTGTGCATAAAGTAGGAGTTCCTGTGTGGCACAAATGGTTAAGTGTTTGGTTAATAACCAAAGGGCACTGTGGAAGAAAGTCTTGGCAATCTGCTTTTAAAAGGTCTTGAAAACCCTATGGAGCAGTTCTACTCTAGGCAACACAGGGTGGCTATGACTTAGAATTGCCTTGATGGCAACTGGTTGGTTTGATACATAAAGTGTATACCTGGCACCTAGTAGATGCTCAGTACATGTTATTTCTTACCTTCTCTCAAGAAACAGCAACACAGTAAGACTTACTGTACTATTATCTAGGTCTCCTTCTCAGACAGAAATCCTGAACTTTTTCTTTGTCTGCCATTGTCATGAGTCACAAGTCTGCCAAGCCAGGCCTAGGGAAGGTTGGGCAATCTACTTCTGTAGTGATACCGCCTTGGAAACCCAAGGAGAGGTCGCTGTGAATCGGATCCAACTCGACAGAAGTGGGTTGCATTGTTGTTTTGTTGGGAGCTTAGGGGCCTCCAGTAGTCAGCAGCACACACTATCCTAACTTCCCTTCTGTTGCCTTGAAAGAACATTCAGGAAAGCAACCCTGAAGAATTTCCGTTAAACAAACAAAGGTTTGCATCTTTGTGGTCTTTTGATCTTGTCTGGAAAAAAATCTGCTTTTTGTTGTTGAATGTTCCCACCAGAAACCTAGGTGAGAGACACAACAGCCCGGGAGCCAAGGGTAGGTTCCAGTAGGAAAGCCCAGGGGCTTAACTTGAAATAGCGACATCTAACCTTTGTAGAGGCCGCTTCCTGCCCATGGCTGCAGAAGCCATTTCCTGTGCTTCTAATTTTTCCAGGAGAGGAAGAAGCGAGGAGAGACCAACAATGACCTGTTTCTGGCAGATGTGTTTGCCTACCAGGGGAAGTTCCACGAAGCTGCCAAACTGTACAGGAGGAGTGGGCGCGAGAACCTTGCGCTTGACATGTACACCGACCTCCGCATGTTTGAGTATGCCAAGGTAATCCACCCACATCCTGGGCCCCAGCTGTCACTTGGAACCCATTAAGCTCTTTACACTGCGGTGTCCAAGTTGTTTATCCCAAGAAGTGGTGCAGACAGAAAATAGCAACAGCTTCAGGAAGCATATGGGCAAATTGGTGAACAGAGGGACCATCCATGGCTACTGGGCAAAACTGACCTAAAGCTGCCCTCTAAGGCTGACATTGAAGGGACAGTGCAACAGCTCAGACTTCCATCAGCAACAGAGCTGGGTGGGCTGGGAATCTGAGGCTGGGTGTCTGAGCCAGCAAATCCCTTCAGTGAGCATTCAGGGAACAGGGCAAATTCTCCCACAAATGCTCTCAAATCTTTGTGTGGAGCCACCAAAAATCAGTGTCCTCACGCATGAGGTTGTTGTACCAACCATTTAGGATGATGTGGTTCACTCCAGCCAAGGTTTCCTAAGTGCCTGCTCTCTGTTTCTGGGCCTCCCAGTGGGCTTCTGAGATGCCATGACAAGAGTCCTTAACCTCAAGTGTATGTCACATCACCTTGGCAGGCATAGAGCAGCTCCACATATATCCAGGTCGGTGACAGTGGAGATCCTGTTTTGGATGTGGTGGCCCCTGTTAAAGCTAGTCCCAGGAGGTATGGGCCTTTAAAGGCATGTGCGGGAGAAGATCTTCCTGATCAGGCTCCTAATGGTTTTGGGGAGAATGAGTTCCATTAAGGGGCCCAGACCAGTCAAGACATTTGCAGCTCAGCCTAATTCAAGGTTAAAAGCGCTTTGGGCCCATCACACAACAAGGTTCTTCCTCCAGGAGGTGCCTTTGTTAAGCTGCCTTTCTCGGTTGTGTCAGAAGAGGCTTTCAGAAATGTTAAGTGAGTCATCAGCCACAATCAATTAGTGGCTATTAATGGTAATTACCTAGCTCAGGAGTTCAAGATGAAAAATATTCCCCCATTTTTTTCTACTTTTCTGTTCTTGAACATGGCTGTGCTCTTTTCTCTTCCACCACCTGTTAGCTCCTTGAGCTGAAAGTTGTGTTTTGGGTTCCAATAATGTGGCTCCAGGAGTCCTTGTTCATTCATCAGTACCTAACGAGCCCCTAGCCTGTCTCTTCACCTTGGTGGTTCTGTCACTCCCCTCTCACACCCAAGGTGCTTCATGTTCTTGCTACTTTTTCCTCCTCAACTTTATCCCTCTACCACACACACATACAAGACTTGGTAATATGTTGATTCTGAGAACATGACGTCAGTCCTTCTCTTTCTGGGAGAGAACAAAATTTTAACTGAGGACAAAACCTTAAGCTAAATAATTGAATCCCTATAGTTAGAATTTAGGCATCAGGAACAACTGGCCATTGGACCAACAGCCCTTCCTGGAATCCCAAAGCCTTTTCACCAAGTAGGCAGCTGTGTTGTGGTAGAAAATGCCTTGGCATCCAGAGATCTGGTACAAGTCCTGTAGGGCCATCTGAGGAAAGTCTGTGCCCAGGAAGCCTGCATTCCCTCCTTAGAGGATAACACACTTACAGCTTAGTTTAATTCTGAGAAAGCCATTTATGAATCTCAGGCTGTAAAAGGTGAGGAAGATGAAGGGCCTAGCGGGATTGTGGAGTGGGTATTTCTCAGACTGCTCCCCAGCCAGCTGGTCCCTTCTGCACCAAGCCCTTCCGAGCACTTCCTCTGGGCTCTGTGCACCACAGACTACCACCAAGAATACAGCCCATTCACGCACTCCATCTGGTCTGTCTCTATGAAGGTAAATACTCTGAGGGTTGTTTCTGGTTTTAGTTTTGATGACAATTCCAAGTAGGTTGGTTCTGTTTCAATGCCCCACACCCCCACCATCCCTCCACCCAATAGCCTGTATTTGAGAAAATGTGTACGTACACATTATGTGTTTTGGGGGGGATAAATACAGTGCTTATTAACATGGCATGTTTTTGTTTTCTTGAAAATTGCTTCCCAAGATTCAATCTGGTTTTCGGAAAGTTTTTAAATTACATTCCCACGTACAAATAAATTGTATGCTTTCCGGATAAGTGACATGTTTATATGGTGATAAAGGGAATTATAATGCTCTTAACTCTTATATAGTATGTCCTTATCAAAATCACCAAGCATGAGAACACTGTTTAGTCTCATTCATCACTCAGCACAGCGTCTTTCTGTCCACCCCAGGACAAAGTCTTTGCCATGGTCCGAGATAACATGTAAATTAACTTCATGGAACCAAAAAGGCTTTGAAAACCTAGTTTGTTGAGCCTTGAAGGAACCATTTAGACTCAGCTTCCATGAAGTCATAGCTCCCTGAGCACCTCTCAGAGGAGGCCTCCAGACTGTGAGCTTTGTGCCTGGCTGGTCTGGTAGACAACCCGCGTTTATGGCTCTCTCTTAGCCTCTCACTCTTCTCACTGCAGTTCACCCCAAGTCCCCTGAGCACTCACTGAAGTCCCTTTGAAGAACATTTTTGATCACTTTTGATGCCTTTTCCCCCATCTGTTTAACCTCACTTAACCAACCAGATTAGCAGAGTTTTCAGCTTTGCGTCGATATAAGGGATACACATTGTTGTAGCTTCCAGGAGTAAGGGGAGTGTCCATAATGGTCCAAAATAATGCATTTTTTGATAATTGGCAGCTGCTTTCCAAGTCCCTTTCCCTTTGTGAACTCCAGAGGAACCCAAAGGTCTGTCAGGGGGGCTGTCTTTTACTGGGTCCCCAGCATCAGGGTAAACGAGGCCCCTCCCTCCCCTTTTTAAAAGGTTTGATTGTCTTCGCCCAATCGAATCTATTATTTTAGGGGCTACACAATTACCCTGAAAGCAAGTGGAACCAAAAAAAAAAAAAAAGGAGCTAATTGTTCCAGTGGGTTTTTAGCATGCATTGACTGTACTTTCCTGACAAATGAGTGCTAATCATGGGAGATAGAGTGCTTTTTTTATACTTTGTGAGGCTGACACTGGAGCACTCTCAGAAGGTACATTATTCTCAAGACAAACTTCTTCTCACTGGTAATGCAGATCTGGGCTCTGAGCACTCTCAAGTTCCCTTTTTGGGAAGCCCCACCTTTAAAAATGTCAACACCAATGCTGCCTCAATTCTGGCAAGCTCCCACGTATATATTCTAAGTAACTAGATCTTGAAAAGAGGTGATTTTCTGAGACTGTCTCTCACATGTTCTAGGGCCAACCCAAGGAAGCTGAGCATGGCTTTCAGACACCCCTGTGTTGAGACAACAGAGGTACCCCACAGCCTAGCTTCCTAAGCCTCGGGGTCTCTCCCACCCCTATTTTCTGGAGAGTACCCCTTACCTCAGGTTCCTCCATGGCCTCCTGCTCTCCCTACTGTTGGATCAGTCCCCACCCCTGCAGAGCTACTCTTAGGTTAGGATTAGATACCATTGACCTGGGAAGTAGTTGACCCAAACCATTTCTGCTCCTTATCTGTCTTGGGCACATATCTAGGGGCCATGCCAATGGGATGACTTCTTAATTTCAGACAACAGCACATTTCAGAAAACAGATGAGAACAGTACTTTGAGTAAGGTAGTAGGGGTGGGGGGCACAGAGAGGCTTTCCTAGGGCTCTTTAAATAATTTGTTTTAAGTTCAAGGGACCACGTGCTCAGCCTCCCTTTGGTATGTAATACCATCTGTATGATCTGAATAAAGATCCCCGCTCTGAGTGTTTGAAATTGGACCAACCAGATGTATAGTCACTGTATAGAATAGTCACATCTATCTCATACTGTGTATGAGTGAGGCAAAGTAACCTGATCATAAGCCAGCCACATTGCAGAATTCGTGTGTGGTGCTGCAGAGACTCTGGAAAGTGCTGTTTAGCTGCAGAACAAATGTCTGTTAGTGGAAAGGGAAGGAAACATTGAGAACCATAGTCCTTGACACTGGCCAGTGTCTTTGTACCCTCAGGAACACCTGTGGGACAGCCCCTGAACCTCCTCCCTGACACCTGGGACTGCCCCCCCAGCCCCTGTGCAGGGATGGGCCTCCTGCCTGCATCCGGATCGCCACTTCAGCCAAACGCAGCCCTTATTTGCTCCAGCTTTCGGCAGCCTGACGTAATGCTGGCAGCAGGAAGTCCTAATCCGGAGTGTTTTTGTTTGTTGTGCTTCCTCAGGATTTCCTTGGATCTGAAGACCCCAAAGAAACAAAGATGCTAATCACCAAACAAGCTGACTGGGCCAGAAATATTAACGAGCCCAAAGCTGCTGTGGAGATGTACATCTTGGCGGGGGAGCACACCAAGGCTATTGAGATCAGCGGCGACCATGGCTGGGTAGACACGTAGGTCTCCAGTCCTGCCCCAGAAAGCACTTGGCAGCGTGTTGTGCCATATTAGCTCTCACCATTGACTGACAAGGGAAAAAATAGTGTTTCTCTTAATATCTAAACCAAATGTGTTATGACTAGGTTCTTTGGGAGACACAAAGATTGAATAAGGCAGTCAACTTTGAGAAGCTTATTGAGCCCCTGGGGAAAGGATGGTAGGCAGTGGGGAGGAGACATGATGTCCGAACTGCCATCACTGAGCCACCACTGTGAGTGTGCCAGGGCCAACTGATCAGCCTTCAGTCCTCCTCATCCTGAGAATCCACATGAGGAAACTGAGGCTCAAATAGCAAACAATCTGCAAAGAACCAGACATCTGGGAAGTAGTGGAGCTGAGCTTCAGACTCAGATCTGGCTGATTTCAATGTCCATAGCATGTGATAATGGTGTTGTTGTTGTTGTTATGTGCCATCGAGTCGGCCCAACTCATAGCGACCCCTCCTTGGGTTTCCGAGGCAGTATCACTACGGGAGTAGACTGCCCAACCTTCTTTCCAAGGAGTGGCTGGTGGGTTTGAACCACCAGTGGTAATGGTAGGAACTAAAAATGGAAAAATTTCTAAGCCAGAAGGGAAGGAGACTTGAATTCTCAAGGGAGGAACTCTGCATGTCTTCTGGGAGGAAGTAGTCTCTACGTGACGAAGCTCGAGGAATTTCAAGAGGAAGAGGTAGTCAGCGAAAAAGGGGAAAGCCTTCAGCACAATGAATTGACACAGTGGCTGCAACAATGGGCTCAGGTATAGCAAGGATCATGAGGCTGGAGCAGGACCAGGCAGGGCAGTGTTTTGTTCTGTTGTACATAGGGTCACTATGAGTCAGAGCCTACTCAGCAACACTTAACAACAATAACAACAAGAAGAGGTGGTAGGAAGGGGAAGGAGGTGTACACTAGAAGAAGAGCCCAAGTGGAGAATCTGCAGTTGCTGAAATGAAAGGGGTATGGGGGTGAAGGGAGGGCAGAGAAAGGCTGGCTAGATCTGGCAGGGCCGCGAATGCCAAACTGAGGAGCTCAGACCCATCAACAGGTCATGAAGGCCCAAAGGAGGCCCTGGTCAGGGCTGTGCTGTCAGAAGACCACACAGGCTGGAGAGAAAAAATAGTATCTGATCACAGGAGACCAGATTCATGGCCAGTGCAGTAGACCAGGGAAAATGTCCTGCAGAGGGGATGAGAAAGACCTGGAGGAGCTGGAGCCCATGTTCCTTACAGGAGACAGCTTCTGATTGTGTGGGAAGTTGAAGGCTGATATAGTCCATGCTGAACCTGGGGTGTTGGAAATGCCACTGGTCCAGACCAAGGAGAGAGGGAGAGGGTTGGCCTGCATGGGGAGACAGTGGAGCTCATGTTGGGACTCTCAGAGTAGCAGGTCTCCAGGGTGAAGGTTTTCTCCTCTGACAGTCCAGGAGAAGTGAGTTCAAGTGCATGCAGGTATGTGAGCAACTGCAGCCAGTGAAGGACAAAGGGTGAGGGGCTCTTGAGTCTGGCCCAGTCTGAGCCCCAAAAGCTGCCAGTCATTCTGGAAGCAAATTGAGGTCTGCAAGGAGGCAGTGGCACAGGTGGGACTTGGGGAGAGCAGAGAGAAGGAGTGGTTCATGATGATAGTTGCCACCTGTACTACTCAGAAAGGGGCCTTGGTAGGTGACCTACTCCATCCTTCTCTTGTCCAAGAGTAAAGTTTCTGGACAATATAGAGGCACAGATTTGCCCCCAAAATGATTCTTTGTGCAAATGAGACGAGAGAGAGCCAGGCAGATTTAGGGCCCTCTTCTCTAGTTTTTCCTGTGTCACTCTCATTTGCTCATGATATTTGTCAGGTTACCCTGGAGGTACTTAACCAGTTCAGTAAAGAGGAGACATTGAGTGTTTTTTGTTCCTTTCCAAGTTTGGCTGTCAAAGGTGCCCCTGCAGGGATATTCGGTTTGATTAGGGGTGGGAATTATGGGGCTACCTATGCCACCTTTCCCTAAAAATGTGTCCTTTCCCTGCTGGGAATGTTATTTTTAGATGAAATTATTATTCTAAGTGCAGATTGACAGGCCTCCCTGAGCTTGCCTGTCTCTGAAACGGGATCTGCTATAGCTGTTTCCCCCTCCCTTCTCTCCAAGTGCAGGCTGGGAAGAACCTCCTTTGTCCAGGAGAACTGGTTTACCCTAGACCCGGCCTGACCAGAAGAGACAAGCACGTTCTACCCTGTCCCCACCCCCAGGGGAAGAAGTAGCATGCTGGTGGCCACTATGGCCCCTTACTCATGATCAGCACCTAGCCGGGAGGGGAGACCACGCGGCATTCTCTCTAGGCCTGCCTTCAGAGTTCAGTGCAGGCTCCAGATGTCCTTTCCCATCTCTCCTGGAGGTCCTGACCCTGAAGAACGTGCCACCCTTGTTTCCATTTTTCTCTAGGGGTTCCTGAGATGGGGATGGGAAGAACACTCTGCTATTTCCTGGCTTTACCTGACTCCTCAAAATTGGAATAATAGAGGTCCCTCTTAGGGTTGTGAAGATAAACTGAGATCACACAACACACGTGATAGCTGGTGGAGCCATACTTGGTACCTGGCAGGTAGACATTGGTAGTAGACATTGGTGTCTCTCCCTAGGTCCTGATGGGTAGATGAGCTCCCTGAGAAGGGCATGTGATGTGGAAAAGACGTGGTATTCTGGAGCAGGCAGCTTCTGCCATCCCTGGGCACAGTGTCTAGAGTAATATTCACTCCTTTAATAGCCACCCATCCAGCACTGCCCCCCCCCCCACTAGAAGCCATGCACTCTGTTGAGCATCGGGGACAGCAAAGTGAATCAGACGCAGCCTACCCTACGGGAGACCCCAAAGCCCATGCCGCTTCCTCCCGTCAGGCTCCTCTCTGCCTTTCCAGGTTAATCGACATTGCCCGCAAGCTGGACAAGGCTGAGCGGGAGCCCCTGCTGATGTGTGCACATTATTTCAAGAAGCTGGATAACCCTGGCTACGCTGCCGAGACCTACTTGAAGATTGGTGACCTGAAGTCTTTAGTTCAGCTGCATGTGGAGACCCAGCGCTGGGATGAGGTAAGGGGGAAGTGTGCCTCATGGATTAAGGGGCCACCTGAGCCCTGGGATGCAGGCAGGTGGGTGTAAGAAACCTTTGGGTTTGGATGGAGAGCAGTTGCTTTCATTGTGGGAATGAACATTGGGTTGGCAGTAAGGAGACATACCTCTGATTCTCTGAGCCAGAGTCTCTTGCAGGGTCTTTCCAGTCCTGGCATCCATTTGTTCATTCAGGAAATCTTTATTAACTGCCTGCTGTGTGCCAGGCTCTGGGCATGGGAGAGTTAACATCGTGATGGGCTGCCTCTGACCAGTGCCACAGGCTCACACACATCTCTGACATGGAAATGCACCTGTGTGATATTTAAAATCTGCTGGGTGGCATTTTGGCAGAAAATACCACCCACACTTTTCCAGGTACAGGGCTGCCAGAGCCATTTCAGGGGCTAGCTCCTCAGTTCCTCCTGCCCATTCTCCTTGACTCCTCTGGTGAGAGGGGCAGGTGAGCAGGATCAGCCACACCATCTGGAAAGATGGTGGGTGGCACTGGCAGAGGCAGCCAGTGTGCCACTCCCCATGGTCTGGTTTCCATCCTCAAACTCCTTGACTGCTTGTTTCCTGGAGGGCAGTCCATCCCAAGTGAGGATGCAAGGCTATGTTGCAGCACCCACCCCACATTGCCCAGCCCCCTATTTTACTGAGAGACCAGGAGGACGCTCTCTGGGTAAAAGCTGTCTGCCTTGTCTGCCCTCTGAATGACTCCATTCGGTGAGGTGACAAGGTCACTGGTGAGAAAAGATGAGGCCAGTGACAGAGGGAATAATGGCTTCTCAAGACAAATTTATCAGAAGGAGAGTTTTCAAGCAACATAAATTAAAGCCTCTTGGACCTGCTCAGTCTTTGCTGTGCATCAGGCAAGCTTTCTTCCAGTTGCAACGTATAGTTTTCCCCTCAACTCATTTCAGTTCTCCTGGTCCTGTTTCTTTAAGGAAAGTCCTGACAGGTGGTTCTGGGACTGTGGTAAAGCAGTGACTGTCCCGTACCACACCATGTCCACCATCATCTTTGACAGCTAATATGCAGTGATGATGATGATAATGTCAATTCTGTTTCCTTAGGTGTTGCCTGCAATTAAAAGAAATCTGTTTGCAGCGCTACAGGAGCCCACGCAAACCCTCAAAATAAAATGTTTCCGATTCTGTGCTGCTTCTGTGGTCCAGAAACAGACTGTGTTGTTATTGAATCCAGTCGCTTGCATATTGCTGTTAATTGCCTTTTGTTTTCAGAGAGCTGATTTGTTTTTGCGTTTCTGGGGGTGATGGTGGGGGGGCAGCATTCTCCCCCTCTGAGTTGTCAGGCTGGCAAAATATGACATCCTTAGTGGATTCCGCCAAGTACGGTGCTGTCATGGGGGCTGCGGGGGCTGCTGTACTAAGAATGCACTTGCTCCTCCCTCCAGGCCTTTGCTTTGGGCGAGAAGCACCCTGAGTTTAAGGACGACATCTACATGCCCTATGCTCAGTGGCTGGCAGAGAATGATCGTTTTGAGGAAGCCCAAAAAGGTAGGCCACACAGAACAGCTTCTTGCAAAAGGGCATTGCCGAGGCACACGCCTCAGGCGGTGTCCAGCTCTCCCCTCTGTAGGTTCCTACCTAGGGACTTCATCTTGGGGATGTGATGTTTAGTGGTAAGAGACCATGGAACAGTGGCAAGAACATGGGTTCTGGACAAGACAGACCTGGGTCCACCACCCCTCATTGGCTGTACTACTCAGACAGGTCCATCTCTGCTCTGAGCCATGGTGTTTACTGAGCAAAACACTGTGCACTGGAATCATTCTCTCATTGAGCCCTTACAACAGCCATATGGTGGAAGCGCTATTATTATTATTCCCATTTTGAAGAGGATAAAACAGGAGGTTAAAGACCTAAAGGGGTTTGCCTGAAGTTACACAGCAAGTGGCAGGGTTGGGATTTGAGGACAAGTGAGAGGACCTCCACCAGGTGTCTGGGACAGAACTCTCACCTCCCATTTCCTTTGCTGCAAGTAAGAGCCCAGGTCTTATTTCTGCGTCATATACTGGGTGGCCTCTGCTCCTTAATATTTCCATTGGTAAAACAGGCTGCAAGTGCAGTGTGGCAGTTTCTGAAATGGAGGTGAGAGGAAGTATAGAGCTTCAACTGATAATAATAAGTTGAAAAATAGACTGCCTTCTCTTTGTCAGGCACTGACTGGGCACTTAACCTACATAACCTTGAATCTTCCCAGCAGCCTGCAGAGCTACAGAGGCTAAATGTGCCATGCAAAGTCACAGAGTAGCAGAGCCAGAACTGGACCAGGGTCTGTCTGCCTGAGAAACCCAGCTTTTCTGACTGTTTTGCTGCCTGTTTAGGAAGTCTTCTTGTTGAAGCTGGGTGTATCATATTCCACAGCATCTCATTTACATTTCTGTATGGTAACAGTTGCCACCTCTGGACACTGGAACAAATGTCCCCAGTTGGAGCTCCTCTGCTTAAAGCCCCCTTTGAAGGACAGTGTGTTCTCTCTGCTTCAGCATTTCCAGAGCACCCAGTTGCTGAAGTATCTGCATGTTTAGGCAAAACACATCAACCTATCCATCTGTCAGTGTCTGCCCTTCCAAGAATCCATCGCCATAGTAACTTGGTACTTAGACAGGAGAACAGAGATGTGAATGGAACAAAGGCAAGACCTTTTCCTTCTCTAAAAGCAGATCTGGATTTTGCAAGTACCACATGTGGGCACCTGTCACAGCTGGAAGTGCTACTCTGGCAGCCCCTGATGTCCTGGGGTCTGGCCATGTACTAGATATTCAGGAAATTTCTGTTAAATGGATATATGAGTGACTGAGAGATTTTTTTTGGCTTGTTTTCACAAACGTTTAGATGTGAGAACAGAGCCAGCTCGTGAGAAGTTTTCATTGAAGAGCACTCAGTTGAAGACAGCTCGAGTACTTGAGCTGGTCTGCTACTTTATCTTTACCAACCAAAGCCCATTTCATTGCTATAAAAAAAAAAGGAGGGGATAATGTCATAAGTCTGTTCACAGTTCATCATAAGCCTGTTGTGACGATCCAATGAGGTCATCAGTAACCCAAGTCCTTTGTAAGCCGCCAAGCCTGATACAAGTGTCAGGTCTTGTTAGTGGTGCCTTGGGAGTCACAGAGCTTGCTCTGGGGTGGGGCAAGGGCAGAACCTAGTTGAAGAGGAGCAGGCCGTGTCCTCGTGGTTTGCCCCGGCATTGGGCCTCAGAGGTCTGGAAGTGCTGCCCAGTCAGGAATGATCTCACAGGTTTTTACTTATCGCCTTTCCAAAGTCAGTTGCCTTTTCCCAGCTGAAAAAGAATCTATTTCACTGCACTTTTCCAGGATGTAGCCTTGGTTATTTATAGCCCTCAGCCTGAGAGACAGCATCCCAGCAACAAAATGCTGTAGATTCTCTGATAAGTGTCCTGCTTCCAAAGCAGTCCCTGCAGGCCCCACAGGGCTCTGTCCTGCCTCCTCACTGACTCCCCAGATATGTGTGCTTTTATTCCCCCATAGCGTTCCACAAGGCCGGGCGGCAGGGAGAGGCAGTCAGGGTGCTAGAGCAGCTCACACACAATGCCGTGGTGGAGAGCAGATTTAATGACGCGGCCTATTATTTCTGCATGCTGTCCATGCAATGCCTCGATATAGCTCAAGGTAAGTAAACAGCTGCCAGGCTGCCCGTTTTCCCTGGCTCCACTCTGGCACCAAGATAAACATCGGAAGAACTGGGAGGTTTTAATTAAAGCCCTGGGCTTGTTTATTGGGTGCATTGTCCATAACCCTGTCTTGCAGCAGCACAATCTGATGTGTCATCTTTTCCCAATTTACCCATAAGCACTAAGGATGGCTCAAGGGCTGTCCTGAGGTTATGGTTGGGAGGTCCTGCCCTGAGTTGCTCATTCAGAACGTACCTCTACCCTGTTACTTGGGAATCCCTAGCTGGACGTGGGTAAGAACTGGTTAAAAAAAATTAAATGAGAAGATGAGAAAGAGATCACTTTACAATAACACTCCAGATTTTCACTCATTCCAGGCAGGAAAACTGTTTCAGCACTGCTTTTTTTTTTTTTTTTCATAAGACTTCCCATCATGCACTGGGGGAGTTTGGAAGTGGAGGGGACAGGGAGCTGTTCTGCACTGGACCAGGGCCAGCAGGCAGGAGTAGGAAAAACATTGGAATCGGAGGCAGCTTGGTGACTTTACCCAAGTCACAACCACTTCCTAAGCTTCTTGGTCCCTATCTGTGCTGTGGACTGATCCGCTCGCTCTGCTGTGGTCATCACAGAAGCCATGGCAATAGTTTGAAAACTGACAAGCTGAAGGGTAAACTGACAGTTGTACTATTCTGGCCAGTGGCTTGTTCTTTTGATAAGCAGCAGCACAGAGGGAAACGACAGAGATGAGCCATGAGTCAAGCTGACTGTGCCTGCCCTCATCCCCAGCTTGTTCCCCCGGTAGCTGTGGATGCCAGTGACTACCCCCTTACAGCCGTGGCTGGTACTCCCCAGCAGATGCCCTCGTAGGGCACAATGCAAAATCTGGGAGCACATGAAAGAAATGTCCTCCAATTTTTCCTGGCCACATGCCCTGCCCACCTAATACTCTCCAGTGTTGATGGCCAGCTCTGAACAACACCTTTGCCACCACTGACCCTCTTCCCCCATCCTTTGATATAGGCTCAGGGGTGTAGCAGGACCGACACTGACAACAGTACCCTCCCCATCCCTTCCTCCGTGGCCACTTGGCAGCCATGGACTTGATTTAACACCTCTTCTTACCTCCCACCCTCACGTCCCACCCCACTGCACACAACAGATCCTGCCCAGAAGGATGTGATGCTTGGCAAGTTCCACCACTTCCAGCACTTGGCGGAGCTATACCATGGCTACCACGCCATCCAGCGGTACACGGTAAGGTGGCTGTGGCTGGGAGACCATCTCTGTTGGGGTGCTGTCCACCAAGCTGGGGTACCGCGCATGTTTTACAGAGCAGCAGGCCTCTGAATGAGAACACAAACCCACTGGGTCATGATGGGTCAGATGTAGCAGGCTGTGGGCTTCTGAGTTAGCAATCCAGAGCTAAGATGGTGGGCCTTTCTGATTGCTTGGTTCACGCTCTGATTACTCAGGCCAACTTCTGGATCAGCCAGACAAAGAGCTTCCTCTCTTTCTAAAACTGATCAGGCTTAATTCTGTGGGGACCCTTTCTAGAGTGAAGACAAACTGGATCTTAACCAAAGGCTTAGTCTCCATTCTTGGCCATGCCATTCACTTGCTGTGTGTCTGTGAGCACTTCACTTCCTCTCTCTGCCCTCAGTTTCCTTCTGTAGAAGTCAAAAGCTAGGACTATAAACAATAGCTCTTTCTTGCCATTGTCTGATTCTCTAGATGAAGACACTTTAAATCTGTCCAGTATCAATGAGGAACAGGTGTCAGGATGTCAACAGCCTCCTCATTCTGTGCATTCCAATCATTGAGCACATGTTGATTAACCTCCTACTATGTGCAAAGCCCTGTGCAGATAAACTGGAAGGATAATATCAACAATACGAGTTACCACTTGGCATGTAGTCAATTCCAATTCGTGGCGGCCCTGTGTGTGCACAGTAAAACTGTGCTCCATAGGGTTTCCATGGCTTGACCTTTCAGAAGCAGATTGCCAGGTCTTTCTTCCAAGACACCTCTGTGGGGTTCAAACTGCCAATTTTTTGGTAATAAAGTGCTCAACTGTTTGCACCACCCAAGGACTTCCAATACCAACAATAGCCAACCTTTACAGTGTACTTATTATATACCTGACCGCATACTAAGGGCTTTATTGTGTCAACTCATTTAATCAATCCTATTGTATAGATGAGGAAACTGAGGCACTGGACAGTGAGATCCCCCAGCTAATAAGCAGCAAAGCCAGGACTTGTGCTCTTAACTTCTTCTCCTCCTCCTCCCACCTGCCAACCTGGAGAAGGCAGACCAGTGTGCTACCTTAGCACATAAGCCCTGGAAACAGACCACTGGCTCATACCCCAGGCTTCACTGTGTGACCCAGGGCAAGATGTTGACCTTCTCTATGCTTCAGTTTCTTTCTCTATAAAATGGGGGTGATGACAGGGCCTGCTCGATGGGGTGGTTGTGAGGATAAAGGGTGCTGATACTTGGAGAGTGCTTGGGAGCATGCCTGGCCCAGGTCAGTGTGATTATTCTGCTCACTGACTGCCCTTCTAGACTGAGCAAGCCCCTTCACTTTTTGACCTCAAGGCCCTGCCTTCTACCCACGGCTGTTTTTTCCCCTGAATCTATGCTGAGCTCTCTGTACATTCTTCCCTTCCTGGGAAAGTCTGGAAGCTCCTCTGACAGGTTCTGCCTGGTCAGCTGTCAGCATGCTTATTGTCAGTCTCCTCCCGCACCAGGATTTGTGGACACGGGGGCTTTGTCTCCACCTCATAGTCTTCTCTCTCCCGAGATGAGACCCCTTCAGGTTTCTTGTCTCTATCAGGTGCTCATCTGGAGAGAAATCAGGGCCCCAGCTTAGCCTCAGTTCACTTGAGGCACTTTTGGGCCCAGCTTCCTCTCCTGGCTTTCCATCCTCCTCCACATCTGGGACATAGAGCTGGGTGTCTCCTCTCAAGTCCACTGAGTGCTGCTTCAGGTTGCCCAAGGTACTGTGACCATGTGTCGCTCTCACATAGCGGGGGGGCCTGGCACTTCCTTTCCAGCTGAGACATCTTTGTTGAGTCATTCCCTCATTCAGCAAATGCCTGCTATCTGACAGGCCCTGGGCTATGGCCTTGGGCCACACCAGTAGACAAGACATTGTCCCTGCCCCTAAGAAGCTCTTCATCTAGGGCAGAGACAAATAAACAAGTCAATAAGCAGCCACAGTAAAAGGCTTCCTGTAGGTGGTGACCTCTAAGCCAAAAGGAGACAGAAATAAGAATGAGGGAAGTGAAGAGTGGCCTCCCTGCAGAGGTCACAGTGTGTGCAAGGCCTCTAAGGGTTTGGCATCAGGGCCCAACAGAGCAGCTCTGACTCAGATGAGACTGGAAGGGGGAGTGTCAGAGCCTTCCCAAATGGGACGTGCTAATCCTGAGTCTCTCCTGGTCTCTGTGGGACATTGCTTTGCTTCCACACCTAGCATAGTAACCGGAAGCTGGCTTTGTCCTGGCTCTCACCCAGTGAAGGAGATGGGGCTCAGGGTTTCTTGGACTCCTGCAGCTAACAGAGGCATAGCAATGTAAGAACTAAAGAGAAAGTGCTGGGGCTCTGAGCTGAAGCCAAAGCATAGAATCCATCCTCAGGAATGTAGACCAACTCGAGGCTCAGCTCTGGCAGCTCGGGGTGAGTGTGGCCCAGCAAGAGCTTTCAAGAAATGCCTGTTTATTACTATTTAAGTGGTTGCAAAGGGGAGGGGTGGCTGGCCTGCTGTCATCATTGTCATCTAAAGCTTTTATTGGAAAGTGGTGGTCTCAATTTGCACACAGTGTGCCAGATTCCTTTAAAACAGGATAATCTTAACCTTTTATGGACCACCTCCTGATGAGAAATTCCCTTTGGCCTGCTGTGCTGAGGCACTGGCAGCTCTTGGTACAGAAGATCAATTCATTCAGCTAATATGCACTGAGTGTCTGCTCCAGGCAGAGTCTGTGCCCAGGGCTGGGGCATGGGGATCAGCAGTGGAAGAACTCCCCCATTTCCATGCCTAGTGGTGCATCGGTGAGGCTGCCATTGGAGAGTGAGGAGGATGAGGCAGTTTCCTGCTCTCAGGGTAAATGCCTCTGCTGAAAGGCCTACTAGACCATTCATCTGCCTAAATTGCAGAAAAGACCTTCGCTTGTAGAGCTAATTGGAGACAACTTCCAACTCAAAGAAATGGAATCATTACCAACCGTAGAGGCATTATATTGCTGGGAGAAAGACATTCTTGAGCTTGGGAATCAGACATGGGTTTGAATCCCAGCTCTGCTCCAATCTAGCTGGGTGGCTCAGGCAGATTGTCTCTCTGAGCCTTAGTTTCCTTGCAAGAATGGTAAGGATAAATCACACACCTCACTGATTGTGTTGGAGACAATCAGTGTAAAGCACTGGCACACAGTAGGTGTTCAGTAAATGAGCTGCTCTGTGGATTGTGGGAATGATGTAGGAACTATGAAGGGATACTTGGTGTCTGCGTTTTGGCCTGGCTTAGCAGTGGTTTAACTGAGGAATTCACTCTTGTTTGCTTTTCTCTCACTGTAGGAGGAACCGTTCAGTTTCCATCTTCCCGAAACCCTTTTCAACATCTCCAGATTCCTGCTGCACAGCCTGACCAAGGATACTCCCTTGGGCATCTCTAAAGTGTATCCTTCCTCTCCCACTCAGCCTTGTCCCACCCCTCTTGTCTAATGGCCCCAGAAGTTCCTTCCAGAGCACTTTACTGGCAGCACCTTCCTTCTCCCCAGCAGCCCTCAGAGAAGAGAGAGCTTGCCCAGCCGCTGCTGTGTTCCTGTAGACCAGGCACAGCCTGGGAGGCTGAGGGGCCAGTGCCAAGAGGAGATTAGCTTTCTGGGCTGGGCCCCACAGTGGGTCTCTGGCCAACACGCTATCCTAAGCCCTCTCAGAACCCACAAATGAGGATGTGACTGAAATTTTGGAAGCTCCAGATCTTTAGGCTACAATCTTAAGTATTTCCCCAGAGTAGGGGGTGCTTGTTCAGCCCAGATATGTGGAACACCTGCTGGACCCCAGGCACCAGGCCAGGCATTAAGGGACAAAGCTGCTGGCTCGTAAGAGGAGACCTGGTGACAGTCCAGTGGGGTATGTGCTGTGGTCCATGGTAGAATGAGGCTGAGGCTGGGGCTTTTGTCAGGGAAGGCTGCCTGCAGGAAGGAACATCTGTCATTGCAGGGGTTAGCGAGCGTGGTGTGTGGAGAGAACTGAAACCAAGCCTGGGTAGGAGCAGTCTGGTGCAGGCAGCAGGACATGGCCAGGGGGTCCCCCATGAGTCTCCCTTCACACCTATGGCCAGTAAGAACCACTGAAGGGCTTTAGGCACAGAAGGAGCTTGAAGGGCCTGTGCTGCCAAGGTACTGAGAAATAATATCTTTAAAGGTCTTGAGTGTCATAAAAGCCATAACTAGCCCCCCAGTTCCCTTCTAAATACCACTTTAACCCCATCCCAGCCCAACCTCATCTCCTTTCTGTAAGGAAAGCCCCTTATACTCCTGCCCTCCGATCCAGGAGAGGGCCCAGAGGTGCTCATTGGTGAGAATGTGTTTCTCTAAAAAGTTCCAGCACCTCATTTACATTTTCAGGGGCATCTTCTCCAAATCAATGGCCACCTAACTGAGGAGACCCCTGCTGCAGGGCAAGGCAGTCTCACCCCGGGGGACTAATCACTGTCTCAGTGACCGGCCCTGGGCCTGCACCCAACCCTTAGAGCAAGTGTGTTCAGCTAAGTGTGATTAGACCCCTTCCCTGTGCTGACCTGCTGCCCTGGGGACTCAGGAATGGCTCCTGACTGGCACCTGACTGGGAGGGGATCACAGTGGAGACAGACAAGGACGAGGATCATCATCTCCACATAACTGCTGAATATGAGGTCTTGGGGGTGCTACTCTGGGGAGAGGGGAGCAGGAGCTTTAGGGAGAATGACCACGGAGAAGAGGCTGGGACTTGGGCCTCAGATGAAGAGTGTGTTAGGCTAGGTTCTAGAGAAACAAAACCAGTGAAGCTGATGTGTGTATGTTTGTGTGTATGTGTGTGTGTGTGTACAGAGAGAAAGATTTATCTTGAGGATGTGACTCACATGGTTGGAGAGACTGGCAAGTCCCAAGTACATGGGTCAGGCATCAGGGTGACTCATGTAACTGCAGGGGTTGACGAACCCAACTGGCTCATGGGCAGCTGAGGCTGACAAATCCCAAGATCAGCAGGCAGTATGGCAGGCCACTGGCTCTAAGTTCAAAGAACCAGAGGTCAGATGATGACAAGCCAGATACAGGATCCGGACTGAGCAGAAAGCGGAAAGCTTTGTTACATGTCCTCATATATATTGGCAGCAAGACACACCCCTAAGGAAACTCCCTATCCACCTGATTGGTTTCTCATATCAGGTCTTGTCATGGAGGTGATTATCTTATATCAGATCTCATCGTGGGGGATGACTACATCATAATTAATAAACCCACTGAGAATCATGGCCCACTCAAGTTGACACACATCCTTAACCACCAAAGGAACTTCTGGGGGCAGGAGAGAGCAGTACCCTGGCTGAGGATATGGAAGTGCAGGTCAGAACCAGAGTTGATCTGAGATCAGCACATAAGGCTTGTCAGCATCAGGCTGTAGGGCTCAAAGAACAGGTGAGACAGTGCCTCTAAAACCGCCAAGTGAGTCCAGGTGCAAGGAGAGAGAAGGGCCTGGGGCCTCTGCACGCACGCTGGCCCTGAGTGCCTGGCTACCCAGGCATCTGCCCAGCAGGGCTGTAGCAAAGGCTGAGCCAAGATGCTAGAGCCATTTTGGCCTGGTCAGGGCACAAGATGAACCATCGGGGGACCAGAGAATCTAAGCAGGGTTAAAATATTAATGGGAATGTCACTGTCTTTGTCTCTGGAAAAATCCCTGGGCCTTGACATCCGAGAAATACACTTAGATCTCACAGAAGTGCAGGTGCAGTCCCCGGGCTTCTGCCCATGCCCTCCTGGCCCAGTGTGGATGCATCCCTGGGTGGGCAAGCCTGCTTCTGGCTAGGTTAGTCTTTGCTGCCCTTAACCCTTAGACACAGGAACACGCTCTTCACTCTGGCCAAGCAGAGCAAGGCCCTGGGTGCCTACAAGCTGGCCCGGCATGCCTATGACAAGCTGCAAGGCCTGAAGATCCCTGCCAGGTTCCAGAAATCCATCGAGCTGGGCAGCCTAACCATCCGCTCCAAGCCCTTCCAGGACAGTGAGGTGAGGTCGAGCTTCCATGGCAGGGAAGCCTTTCCTGTCTCCTCTCAGCGGGAAGGTCTTCTGAAGACTTCTTGCCTGGCCTTAGGTTCCACTTGAAAGGTGGCCTGCCATGCACTCAGCTGTGTGCCACCCTGACCTGTTCACCCCCTAGCTGGCAACACCTTCACACCACCCTCACCACCACCTCTATTCCCCACTTAACACTGTACTCTGGTCTCCCCTTAAGACCCTGGGCCCTGAATGCTTTCATGACTTAGCCCTCCCCTTAGGTAGGCCCCATATGCCACTGCAGCCCAGCCCCTCTCCACACCCCCACACCCAGGTGGATCTCTCTTCCCCTCAGCCTGGGCTGACCCTGACCCCAGAAGCTCCTTCCCTACCGCACCCCTTTTCTGGGACCAGGTCATTACTGTCCAGAGAATCTACCCCACTATGTCTGCAGCTTGGGCCCAGCCTCTTCCTTCAACCTGACAAACAGCTGTCTCTGTTATCCCTGTCTTCCAAACTCAGGGACTTGGTATGAAACAGACCTGGGTTCCAGTTCCAGCTCTGTCTTTTCCTGGCTGTAGTTCAGTCTTTCTGAGCCTCAGTTTCCCCTTCTATCAAATGGGGATATGCATAATATCTTTCCCACAGGTGGTTGAGAGTTTAAACAAAACAGCATAGGTATGCTGTAAGTCATTGGTAAATGGTGGCTATGGCTCTTGTAATTTCCTGCCAGGAGGGTAGTCCTGCGGGGCCCCTTCCTGTGAAGGAAGTGTCTGGGGCAAGGGACCCTCAAGTGACAAGATGACAGAACCTCTGATGTCTTTCCAACCCCTCCTTATGTTTCACCCCAGCACTGAGCTGAGGCAGGAGAGGAACCAGTATGCCCAGCCCAGTACCTGCTCACCCAGGAAGCCTTTCCAGTGACAGCCAAGGCATAGTCCGAGTCCAGAGTGAGGAGGGAGACAGGGCAAACCCGCTGGTTTGGTTACACTAGACAGTGTGCAGGAATGTGTCTTTGCAGGAGCTGGTGCCCTTGTGTTACCGCTGCTCCACCAACAACCCGCTGCTCAACAACCTGGGCAATGTCTGCATCAACTGCCGCCAACCCTTTGTCTTCTCTGCCTCTTCCTATGGTGAGTCCTGCTAATGGGCCAGCATGCACCTCTGCTTATTAGCTTACTGGCCACTCTCTGAGATCCTCCTTTGTAGGTTGGGGACAGTGTGACACCCATTACTGCCTGGCACATGTCCTGTCAGGGTCCCCAGAGACAGTACCCAGTACTGCCCAAACCACATACCCTCTTCCCATAACTGGTCAGGGCTCTGCATGAATGACCAGGCTGAGTGGCATGCAGTCAGGCTGCAGGCTGTGAGCCCCAGCCCCTGAGGTCCAACAAGAGGGTCAGAAGGCACCTTCCAGTAGCTGGGCAGAGCCCTCTCCTCTCTCAGAGGAGCCCAGCAAGCTGCAGGGGTGAGAAGGAAGGGCTGAAGGCCTGCCCCTCCACCCCCCACATACACACCCATACACATAGGCTTCCTCCAGGTCTGGGAGGGGACCTGCAGTGGGGGAGGAGTGTGCCACAGTGGGGACGAGGGAGCCCCGCAGGCCTGTGCTGCTCTTAGAGACACCTGCCTGGTGGGAAGGGGCTCCTGCCTGTGCCTGGTGAGAGCACCCAGCCCCCAGCTGCCCACGAGGCTGCCATCCCCTCAGAATCCTCCCCCTGACCCTGTGCCTCCAGAAGTTCTGCACCTGGTCCAGTTCTATTTGGAGGATGGGATCACTGACGAAGAAGCCATCGCCCTCATTGACCTGGAGGCACCAAGACACAATAAGCGGGAGGGCAAGTGGCAAGAGTTCACGAGCAACAGTATCCTGTGTGCCAGCTGTGGGTCCAGGTGGGAGGGTGGGAAGGCCTTGGTGGAGGGGCAGGCTATGCCCAGGAGATGATCAGCTGCTGCTGAGGCCTGGCTTTGTGGCCTGTGAGGCATTGAAGAGATCCCCATTGTGGCAGGGATGGGGACCAGAAATAGGCAGAGAGCTGGCCAGACAAGAGGTACCAACAGGACGTTGGGGACCCCTAGGCCCCCAGTGGCAGGTGATCGAGGAGATGTTACCTCAGCCTTTTATCTGTGCTTTGTTCCCCGAGGGCTCCTAAAAGGCATCATGGTGTACGATGTCCATATTGGTGACCTCAGCGCTTCCAGACAGGCCACATTTACATGCAAATGGTAGAAAACATGACTTTGTGGCTGAACATGTGAAAGGGAGTTAACAGCCTAACAATGGATGGCAGCCAAGCTGGGTCCAGAGGCTCCCTTAGTGTGCCAGGAGGCCGTTGTCTCTTGGCGGCGCTGTCCACAGGTGGCCTCACAGTGAGGCAGCACCTGCCCATCCCCGCACAGCCAGAGAGAGAGCCACCACAGTGCTGGCCTGCACAACCCAGCAGGAGTAAAGCACCTAGGACACACTTACCTTGGGGCAGCTTGTGCTGAGGGTGGCTTGATGGAGGGTAGACTGGATCATCCAGCCCTGGGCTCCTAGGCCAGTACTTCTCAACCTTGAGTGTACGCATGTCACCAGGGGCTTATTGGCAGCAGCCTGTGATTCAGAAGGTCACAGTGGGGCCACTGACACTGGTAAGAGGAAAACGAAGGTAGCTGTTTGCTGAAGAAGGGAAACAAGGACATGTGTACCACCCCAGTTCACTTCTAGTCCTCCTCAGACTCTGACTATGGGCTCCTGACTCCAACACCCTCCATTCCATGCCCAGTCCCTTCCTTGTAGTCCTTCTATGGCCTCGTGCTCTACCTGTTTCCCTCCACCCAGCAGCTCTTCATACCAGTCTTGCAGAGTAGGTGCCTCCTGGGTTCTTTCAGCCTTAGGATCTGTAGAAGCACTCACCCACTGATGCTCCACGAAATACGATCTCCAGGTCCTCATGATGCCTTATACCACCCAGCACTGGCTCAGTGTTTCTGCAGGCGTTGCTGGCTTTGCTGGCTGCAGTTTCTAGCTGGGCCCATCATTTCTTCCAGCAGGCAGGCCACCTTCCCCATTCTCATGGCACCGTGGCTGGCTGGCACACCTGAGTTGTGGTGTGTATCCACGTAGAGCAGGCCATGGGCCTGTAGTGCCTATTCTCTCTCAGGCCCACTCCCTCCTTTCTCAGGCTTGGGCACCAGGGCCAGGAGATAAGCCATACCACCATGGCCCTCCACTGAAAACCCACTCCATACTCCTCACTGCCCTCCACCTTTCCTCTCCTTCAGAGCTAAGGGAGGACACACGGGTCTGGAAAGAACTCTTAACACATTGGATGGAGGGTGAGCCTGTTTGTAGCTTGGGCCTCTGATTCCATCCTTGACCAGACCCTCCAGATTCTCAGTCCCTAAGGCTTGACGAGACCAGGGACTCCATGGGTGATGATGACCCATTCACAGCAAAGCTGAGCTTTGAGGTGGGTATGTGTCTCCTGGGTTTTGAGGCCTGGGGGGAGAGGGGAGGTGAACAGATGCAGGCCCTTCTCCTGTCTATATGGGGCCTCAGTGAATGGATGAAGGCAATGAGTGTGGGTCCTAAAGGCCAAGCCAAGACCTGGAGAGCATCCCAGGGAGGCCAGCTCCGCACGAGGAAGGGCTTATCCCTGTCAGAGCTGCCTAGGGACAGGAGGTGATGGGCTCCCCTCACAGAGGTGCCAACAGGGAGGTCTCTGGGGGTCCACCCTGACCACCCTCAAGGCTCTGGAGTGGTGATCCATGCCTGTACAGAACCGTGGCTGAGTGTGGCCGGCACCTCTCCCTTCCTGTGTACCTGCAGCAGGGCGGCTCAGAGTTTGTGCCGGTGGTGGTTAGCCGGTCAGTGCTGCGCTCCATGAGCCGCCGGGATGTCCTCATCAAGCGCTGGCCGCCGCCCCTGAGGTGGCAGTACTTCCGCTCACTCCTGCCTGATGCCTCCATCACTATGTGCCCCTCCTGCTTCCAGGTAAGGTTAATCTGCAGCTCACAGCCAGCCCCACTGCCTTCTTTCTGTTCCTAAATGTCCCCTGAGGAGACCAGGCCCTGAGAGAAGGAGCACAGTTTTATCTCTTAGTGGTCAGGCCAACGGTCATGGCCCCAAGTTGAGAAGAACAGGCCTGTCCCACAGTCACCTGCCTTCTCTCATGCTTTCCCCAGGCAGAATCGCACCTTTGCTGACTTTGAGGGAAAGCATAGCTAGGAGGTGCCTTGTGCCTCAGGCATTACCCTTTTCCTCCCTTCCTCCAGTCTTCAGACATAGGTGTCACTACCTCACTGAGAAGCCCTCCCACCCTATCCCCAAGCAGGGCCCAGCCGACCTCAGGGCCGGGGTCTTAGGGGTCTTATCTCTCCTCAGATATTCCACTCGGGGTCTTATCTCTCCTCAGATGTTCCACTCTGAGGACTACGAGCTCCTTGTGCTCCAACACACCTGCTGCCCCTATTGCCGGCGGCGCATTGATGACCCCAACCCCTGACCACACTGTGGCATCGCCGAGAAGGAAGAGTTAACTATCAGAACATGTCTTGGGCCAGATGAAGTTTGCATTTCAGGGAGGGGCCTGTGTAACCACAGAATTCCTATTTATGGCATTTTGTGCCTTGTAAATAGCACCAGGGGATGGGGAGAGAATGCACATATATTTTCTAAGAAGAAAAAAAAATCTGTTACTTTCCAAACGGCAGGCTTTCGTTCGCAGTAGCCTGCTGGAGTCCACAGATCTGTCAGACCATTAACATGTACACTTTGCGAACAGATTGCCTCAATAATTACAAATAAAAGGGCTACTTATTTTCATCAGTGTCTGCCTTTTAGCAAATCTTCATATTGTCTGCAACTTAATTTCCTTATGCAAAAGTGCACCTGTTTCTAATTTGATTTGAGAGGAACATTATATTTGTGTGCTCTTAAAATGTAATCTAATCGAAGTGGCAATATGGGAAGGTCTAGGGGAGCAGTTAGTATTTTTTGTGTTGTTTGTTTATTTTGGTTTAATGGGGATCCATCATCACAAGAAAGTAAGACACCTGGCTCTGAAGTTGTTAGGATTGGAATGAAGGCGTGTGGGTGGTGATCTGGTCAAGATTCTGGGAGTCCACTCTTCCACCCTCTGTGGGGCTGGGGAAGGCGGGCAGCAAAGAGGGCCTGGCCCCCAGCCCACTGAGGGGCCCAGCCCACCTGAAGACTTTCCGTTTCCCTCCAGCTCCTTAAGCAGATGGATTCTGTTTGAAATTCTAAACCTCTAGCATCTCTTCCTTTGAGCTCAGCAGTGTCCAATCCCACAGCTCGAGAGATGGGTGGGGTGGCAGACGGAAGCTGGGGGAGAGGAGAAGGCACCTTTCTTGGGGGCCTCTCCTGTGCCAGCCTCCTTTCACATGTTGTCTCACTTCTCACACCAGCCCTGGGAAGGAAGGAATGTTGTTTCCATTTTACAGCCAATGGGGAGAGGCGGGGGCTGCAGGGCTGGGGCTAGGTGCCCTGAGTGGCCAGGTCATGACTCGTCCTAAGGCCCTGCTGTCTTCAGCCACCACCCTACCTGCTCAGGCAGCAACACAGGTGAATGAAAGCAGATGGACATAGGTAGGTGATAGGGCCTATGTTAATAACATTCCTTGTGATTAAACACTGACACCCTACATATATGAAGTAGGCAGGCAAGAGAAGGTCCCCATTGGAGGGGTGAAGCCACTGAGGCCTGGACAGGAGAGGTGACCTACAAAGATCTCTTCCGAGGAAAGTACCAGAGCTGAACCCAAACCGAGGGCCCCTGCCCTAGCCCAGACCAGCCCCTCTTCCCTGCTTCCCTCTGCATCTCTCTCTGGAGATGATGGAGGAAAGTAAAGGGAGCCAGACAGTTGTGCCAACAGAACTCCTCCGTTGAGTGTCTAATTACTTACGATCATGCATGCTCTCTATCTTGCTAAACATTTATTAATGTGTTAGGATTTCCATTAGCGCATTACTTGAACTGAAATCATTTGCATATGGCTGGGAAAAAGGGGAAAAAACAGCCCCAGCCACCCAACAGGCGTCAATCATAGTGGCAGATCAGATGGTCCAGGGCTGGGGGGGGAGGGGCCCAGCCAGAGACTCCAACTCCACAGGCGGCATCTGAGCCAAGGGATTCAGGAATGAGAGGGAGTCGAAGATCCTGCTGCCACCAGGAGCTGGGTTCTGAGACCTGTGTCCCAACAGCAATGGCCACAACTCCTCCCAAGTGCCAGACACCGGGCTAAGCCCTCTCCATGCGTCATCCTACTTATTCATCAACAGCCCTCCAAGGCCAGGTCTCTCCCACCCCCATATGCAGAGACTGAGGCTTGGCAACATCCATTTTGCTTTCATTGAACAAATATTCCAGCCCTACATGGAGCTGCGTGCCCTGCTGCCTGCTGTGTCCTGACTTGGGCAGGGCCTGACAGTCCAATCCCAAGCTTGGTACCTCCTCTGTGGCTTTGACAACTGAGGCCCTAGCCACTGACCTGTCTGTGCCCCAGTCTCCCCAACTGTGGGAGAGGTGCAATGATGCTGGCCTTTACCACCCCTCCCGTGTTTCCTGCACAGCAGGACTACTAAGATGCCAACTTCATGGAGGCCCAGGGAGAGGAGTGCCATGCCTGAGGCTGCACAGCCCATTCTTGGAAGGAGGAAGTGAAAAAGAGTAAGAGTTGGTGATTCTGGAAGAGGACGGGCCCAAGGTGGACCTGGGCTCTGGCCCTGCATCAGTCAGCTGGCATCTGTGGAGCTCGCTTTTTCCCAGCAAGGCTGCAGCAGCCCAGGCTCAGGTGGCACCTTTCCCTTCTCCCAGGCTGGCACTGTGTGTGCCAGTGGCTGGGCTGAGCAGACCTCTTCCTGTGGCAGCCTGAAATGGAAGTTGATGGCACACTCCCTTGCTCCCACCAACTGATGCCCGCCTCTTAGGTCTGCCGGCCCTTCCCTGCCACTCCACCCTCATCTGCTACCACCCCCTTCCCATGAGGCCCAGGACCTCCATACCAGCTAAGCCCTCCTCATCTGGGTCTTGGCCAGGCCCTTCCCCCTCCCCAGGGTGCCTTTCTAGGGTCCCCCTAGTTTGCCTCTTGCTTCTCTGGGCTCCCTCAGTCCCAGGGCTGAGAGAAAATCTCCACTGCTCATGGTTATTATTTATTTTATCTGTCTGCTGCCTCCTGAGACTAGGAGCTCCTTGAGGGCAGGGGCTGTGTTGGATTCTTCTCAGTGTCCCTAGCACCTAGTCCAGGGTCAAGAGCATAGAAAGTGTTTGGTGAATGTTGGAGAAAGGAGGGAAAGAGGGATGGAGGAAAGGAGGAAAGGAGGAGAAGAGGAAGGAGAGTGGGTTTGTCTCCTTCCTTTATCCCCCCTTGACATTCCCAGCTGAGTCTTACCTCACTCGGCCAGGTAGGGCTCAGCCTTGTCAGGGGAGGCACTGAGGAGGAGGGAGAAGAGGAGCTGGAGAGGGGAAGTTGCTGACTGAGCAGCCCTTTCAGCCTTAGACACTGAAGCTTAAGGGCTATTTGTGCACCCCAGCTAAACCCCTAATCCTCCGAGGGTAGAGTCAGAGCCTGCAATGGGGCTCCCAGAGGCCTAGGGCTCGGAGGACCACAAGATGGCCACATCTGTCTTCAGATGTAACTCACTCTCGGCCCACAGTCCCCACCTGTCAGAGCCCCTCACAGCTCCTCCTTAGCCTGACTTTTTAGAGGGTCCAGGTGCTAAAGCTCAGCTGTGAAGGAGCTGGAGCCCTCTATGAGTGCTTGACTCAGGAGCGGAAAGAGCTTGCACTTGAGATTCTGCAAGCCTGGGGTCCAAGTCCAGCTCTGCTGAGGAGCTGTAACCTCTCATCCCCATCTCCTCAGTGTCAGAGGGATGGAACCCACCACACAGGCCACACATTTTCCCTCCAGGCTAAGAGCTGGGGATGCAAGCCTTCTGTCCTAGAATGAGATGAGCAGTTGACAAAGAGACAAATTTAAAATATTAACAGTGGTGTAGGGCCTGGTTTGTCAGGTGCTCAGGGAAGGCTTCTCCAAGGATGAGGGTTGTAACCTGACACCTGAGTGAGAGTCAGTAAGAGAATAGTGCTAACAGTGACATGTACTGAGCAGGTACTGTTGCGTTGATGTTAGGTGACATCAAGTCAGTTCTCACTCCCAGTGACCCTGTGTAAAACAGAATCAAACACTGTCTGGTCCTGCACCATCCTCACAATCGTTGCTATGTTCGAGCCCATCATCACAGCCATTGTGTCAATCCATCCCACTGAAGGTCTTCCTCTTTTTCACTGACCCTGCTGTGATTCCCATTTTACAGAGTAGGAAACCAAGGCACAGGGAAGGGAGGTGCTGGCTTAGCTCAGGCTGTTTGTCACAAGACTGTCTGTCTTTGAGCCGTACTCTGGGTGTAAGGCTGTGTGCAAAATGCCGTGCCCAGTATAAGTTGTGCAACAGGGTCTGAAGGTCCCTACTTGGCCTTGAGGGGTAGCAAGAAAACAGGTTAGGTTTCCAGTAGGTGTGGATTCTCAGAGGTCTCCTAGTCTGAGCAAACTGTGGCCCAGAAAGGGCAAATGAGGTGTCCCAGGGTCTTTAGGCAAAGTCTCCTTCACCCAAAGCCCGCCTGACAGCCTAGCGCTTTTCCCACCACCCCAGCTAAACTATTCTAGTCATTTATACCCTAATGTCTTCTATACGGGGGTGGCAGGGTCAGTCCAGGACACCCCATGAAGCTGTTGACAAGCATCCATCTGTTGTGGGATCCAGGCAGGTCACAGCTGGATTCTGGACCTCAGTCTCTCCATTTGCAAAATGTGGCTGGGAAATCAGAGCTGGTGACACCTAGTGACCCTGCTCGCTCTCTGTGAGCCTGTGGCTCTCAACAAAGAGCTTTTTTGTTTCAAAAATTCTTTATCCTGCTTTACAGACAACAGAACACTGTCCCCTTGGAGATGGCCTTTGATTCTCCCCACAGTCTGGGAGGTAGGGATGAGCAGTCTCTTACAGAGGAGAAGACAAAGAGAGAAAGTACTTAACCAGCTCACCTGGACCCCACCCATTCATTCACTCATTCATTCATTCACTCACTCCACAAGTGTTTATGGAGCACCTACTTTGTGTCAGGCTTGGTGAACAAAACAGAAATCCTAGTTCTTTCTAGTGGGGGAAAAATACTCATGATGTCCCTGCTATGTTCCAGGAATTTGGGGATCCTCTAGGAGACAGACAAAAATTTTGTGAACAGAATATAAACAAAAGGCTTCCCAATAGTCCTAAGCTTAGGAAAGAGACCACAGATCATGGAGAGCTGGCACAAGGGTCGGGGCTTGGCTGGCCAGGGTGAGGCTGGGTGTGGGCCAGTATCGGCCCAGGAAATCAGCATTCCTCCTTGGCAGGGACTATGGGAATCAAACTCTCCACCTTGACCTCATTAGCGTTGGGCCTAATCACCAGCCAAGCGCCTTAAACTTCGAGAGGTCACACTGACCTCCCCTCCTTGCCCAACTCCACTTCATCAACACATTCTATCAGTCCCACCTGTGTGAAAAGCCCGTTAGCCTTGGACAGGGCTGAACACAGGAGGTATCTTGAGCCCCAGGTGGGCTGGCTTGGGGGAGGCACTTTTCTGAGCAGATGGGATCCAGGAATCCCAGGGTGAGAAGAGAGACTGAAAGAGAGAAAGTGTAAGTGAAGTGCCTTAGTTCTCTCAAACCAAACCACAGTCACTGCCATTGAGTCGATTCCAACTCATAGCAACCCCCTTTGGGTTTCTGAGGTGGTAAATCTTTATGGAAGTAGATTGCCCAGTCTTCCTTCTGAGGAGTGGCTGGTGGGTTTGAACTGCCAACCTTCTGGTTAGCAGTCAAATGCCTTAGGTACTATGCCAACAGAAACACCACACGTGGATGGCTTTAATAAACATAAGTTCATGCTCTCAGAGTTTAGGAGGCTAGAAGTCTGCATTCAGAACACTGCTCCAGGAAAGCCTTTCTCTGTGTCATCTTTGGTGGAAGGTCTTTGTCCCTTTCCGTTTCTATTCCTTGGCTCTTTGTTGATCTTCCTGTGGCATCTCTCCCCATCCCTGCTTCCTGTGCTTGCCTCTTTAATCTCTTTTATATCTCAGAAAAGATTGACTCAAGACATACCTTATACTAATCTGTCTCATTAACATAACAAAGAAAAAACATTTCCAAATGGGAGTATAACCAGAGGTATACACATTTACCACACAAGTTTTTGAGAGAGAAGTCTCAGAAACAGGGACACTGACCCTGATGACCTTCTGCTCCCACCTCAGGGCCTTTAAACATGTTGTTTCCTTTGCCTGGACACCTCTCTTTCCCCTCTTTCCCCCAGATTTTGCCCCACCTGGTCCCATCCCATCTGTTTGGTTACTTCATGCCACTCTAACAGAAATTACCACAAGTAGCATGGCTTTAAGAAATGAGTTTATTCTCTTAGTTTAGGAGGCTAGAAGTCCAAGTTCAAAGTCTCAGCTCTAGGGGCTGGATGAGGGCCCCTTGATCTTGGGCTTCAGCTCTGCCTCTTGCTCCAGGCCCACTGAAGCTGGAGGCATCTCTGCTCAGGCAGCTGCTGGCCATTGAGGCTGATAAACTCAAGGTTGACAAGTAAAATGGCATGGTCCCAAGATTATCAAACAACATAGTAGACCATTAGTCTAAATTCAGAAACAGTCCCAAGATTGCCAGGCAATCATGCATGGTAGACTGCTGAATGAAGACTCAGCTACGTACAAGGTCCAAGCATGCCAAAAGCTATAGAAACCTTTCTCAACACTTCTCCTTATAAACTGGAAGCAGACTACATCCTTAAGGCAGCTACTCAACTACTCCAGTAGATTCCATCATGGAGCTGATTACCAGTCTCATCATGGGGAATACTACATCCAGCTGCCCAGCCACTCAAAACTAGGCCCCGCCAAGTTGACACAAAACTTAACTACCACACCATCATTCAGTTCTCAGCTCAAACTTCACTCTTCCAGAGGCCTCCCTGGTGCTTGCTATAAAATATAGGTGCTAGGCTGCGTGAATCATCACAAGTTTTATTTTCTTCAGGGAACGCTTGTTAGTATCTTAATGATTCCATTGGTATTTATTTCATTGTTTGGGGCCTTCTCCCTTCCCTCTAAAGTGTAAGCCTCTTGAGGCCAAGGACTTTGTCTCCTTCACCACTGTGTCTCCTAGAACCTAGCACCTTGTCTTGGAACACAGTAGGTGCTCGAAAAATATCTGCTGAATGAGCAACAGTCCCTGAGGACATCATGTGACCCGCTCAGTGCCCCCATCCATCACCTCACTGACCTTTGCTCATCCCTAGCTATGCACATAGAGACTGTGCCTGCCAGTGTCCATCCACGTCTGCACGGAGGTCACCCCCCCCCCCCCCCCGATACTTTCCTCCATTCTGTGCAACTCATTGCCCTAAGACCAGCTCTTGGGGACTCCTGCTAGGCAGCATCCCAGGCCAACCCTCCTGGCTCACCTGGTGGCAAACGCCGACAGATGTCCCCAGACGGTTCCCTGTCTGCTTCACATCTCTACCAATCTCGTGTTTCCTGGGCCTGCCCTTCATGCTGGAATCTTCCCAGTGACTCAGTGCCCTACTTGTACCTACCACATAGCCCCCTCCTACCTACAAGGTCCCTACTCTGGTCTTCCCTCCCTGGCCCCCTTTCCATCCTCACTCCCTCCAATCTATCTCTGCTGGGTTTTTAAGGTACCTTTCCGCTCCCAGTTCTGTTTAGGCCACTCTCTATTGCCCTCTGGGTAAACCAGGTTGTGGGCTTGGCTTCCTGCTCCTTGGCCATGTGCAACCACACCCCCAGGCCTCGAGCCTCAGGCTTCTGTTGTCTTCAGCCCTTTTCTCCATCTGCACTGTGCTTCTCTCACTCCCACCCCAAAAGCCCCAAATGCAGCATCCCTAACTGACTCCCCTCCATGGTCTCACTCACACCCCTTGGCAGGCCGCTATCTCTTCTGCCCTCCCCACATCTGAGTCCACCCCGGCCCAGAAGCTCCTCTGGCCAGGGCCATTTCTTCTTGTTCTGTGAGTCCCTAGGGGCCTGCACACTGGTGCTGCATGAATGAGACAGAGGTTGAAGATGTCCCAAATGTCCATCTTTTCCAAACTGCTGTACCACTCCATCATCTCTCACATCACCTGCTCCTCCCCTCAAAACTCTCCCTCCCATCTTAGGGTTCTGTAATACACTGCAACATCTCACAGAACTCACAAACCCTCAAGGAAGTGGCTCACATGGTTGTGCAGGCTGGCAAGTCCCAAATCCTGTGGGTCAGGGGTCAGTCTGGAGGCCTCTTCTGACTCGTGAGGCTGCAGGGGCTGCCGAACCCAAATCAGTAGGCCACATGACAGGCTGTAGGCTCATAAGGCTGTGGACGATGGCCATTCAGAAAATAGGCCGCTGGTTCAAGTTCCCAGAACTGGAGGTCTGCTGATGACAAGCCAGATGCAGGACCCAGAGCAAGAAGGAGAACTTTGCCAGAGCATTCGTATATATTGGATACAGACTATACCCTCGAGGGAACTCTCCTTATTTGAGCAAGGGGGTGCAAGGGGCATAGAGGATGGTGACTTGAGTCACACCCTCTAGTAAGGTGGTCACTCAAGATGCATCCCACCCGAATCCTGCCTCATTAACAAAGCAGACAACTCACTCCGAATGGGACCATAACCTCAGGCATCACTCACTGCCATTGAGTTGACTCCAATTCATAGAGACCCTCATTGGATTTCCGAAGTGGTATAAATCTTTATGGAAATAGATTGCCCCATCTTCCTTCCATGGAGCGGCTGGTGGGTTTGAACCACTAACCTTCTGGTTAGCAGGCAAATACCTTAGGCGCTGCACCACCAGAGCTCCTAGGATTTACAACACATCACAAAATGGAGGACTCTGGCTAGAAGGGCCATATTAAGCAATTCACCACACCATAAATGCTTAATGAACAGTGCATTCCAACTCAGTGCAACCAATACTTCCTGAGTGAGCATTGAGGTCCTGCTGGCCTGGGAATTTGACACTAGGAGTGCTGAAGCTGGCAGGATGTGCCTTGCCACATGAAGCTCATACACTGAGATGAGTGAGTGTTGGATCAGGATATTAGTGAGGCTTGGAGCAATCTAGTTAAGGAAGGAATCAGTGAGTGATGGAGGATAATGAAGAGAACGTCTACCCCTGGGAGCTCACTGTGCCACTGGGAGAGAGACCTAGATTTAGGGGGTTCAAACCCACCAACCACTCCACAGAAGGAAGATGGGGCAATCTACTTCCGTAAAGATTTACTGCCCTGTAAACCCAATGGGGGTAGCTATGAGTCAGAATCAACTTGATGACAATGAGTTGTTGGTTTTTTTTTTTTTTTCTGTTAGTTTGTTTAAAACATAGAGTAGGAATTCTGGTAGCACAATGGTTAAAGCAAAAGGTCGGTGGTTCAAAAACACCAGCCTCTCTGCAGGAGAAAGATGAGGCAGTCTGTTTCCATAAAGATTTACGACTTGGAAACCCTATGGGGCAGTTCTACTCTGCTCTATGGGGTTGCTATGAGTTGACATCAACTCAATGGCAGTGGGTGTGGACATGGAGTAGAGTGGCCCTAGCCCCAGGCCAAGCCACCAGAGTAAGATGGGCAGAGATGCAGGGGAATTTGGGACACATGAGTAAGGGGAGGGCCATCTCCCCATTCACAGGGCACTGAATACCTGATCTCACTGACCCCAGGCTCTGTCAGGTGTCACCTTGACCCCTCTTGGAAGCCAATTAGGCCCCAGTTGCAGGTGGGGATTAATATGATTAATAATGCCCCCAATCTCCCAGGTGCTGATTCAGCCTGGAGCTTAGGGAGGGGAGGTCACTTTATAAGGGCCTGGGGGGGGCTTTGTCTGAGCCCGGAGTCTTCTGCAGGCATCCTGGTGACTGAGCTCCAGCTTGGGCAGCACCGTTGGGTCGGAGCGCTCAAGCAGCCACTAGGCCACAGCCATGAATGGGACGGAGGGCCCGAACTTCTATGTGCCCTTCTCCAACAAGACAGGAGTGGTACGCAGCCCCTTCGAGTACCCGCAGTACTACCTGGCAGAGCCATGGCAGTTCTCCATGCTGGCTGCCTACATGTTCCTGCTCATTGTGCTTGGTTTTCCCATCAACTTCCTCACACTGTACGTGACCGTACAGCACAAGAAACTACGCACGCCGCTCAACTACATCCTGCTCAACTTGGCCGTGGCTGACCTCTTCATGGTCTTCGGTGGCTTCACCACCACCCTCTACACCTCTCTTCATGGATACTTCGTCTTTGGGCCCACAGGATGCAACCTGGAGGGCTTCTTCGCCACCCTGGGTGGTAAGGGCCAGAAGGAGGCGGGCAGGGGGCTTCAGGGGGCTCGGGGCAGCCATAGACCAGGGGTGGAGGCTGAGAGGCATCAGCCTCATCCAGTACCTGTATCAGGTACTGTGCAGGTGACTCTGGCTCATGGTGTATGAGTAGAACTCTGTTCCACAGGGTTTTCAATGGGTGAGTTTTTGAAAGTATATTGCCAGGCCTTTCTTCTGAGTTGCTTCTGGGTAGACTTGAACTACCAACCTTTTGTTTAGCAGCCGAGGATGTTAACCATTCGCACCCCTCAGGGCCTCCAGCATCATTCGAGGCCCTCATTTATTCAATCAACAAACACTGTCAGTGATTATTAGACAGCTGCCTTTTGTCGAGGACTAAACATTCTTTACCTCATTAGGAGTGAGGCTCTTGTCGCATTTCCCAGCAAGAAAACTGAGGTGCAGAGGAGGCCAGTGCTGGAGGTCCCACAGTGGTGGTGGCAGAGCTGAGTTCCGGGCCCACATCTCTGTGGCTCCTTAGGTCAGGTTCTGAACTCCAAGCCTCTGCTGCTCTTGGGACAGCTGTGCTTGGTCAGACCCACACTGGGTACTGGGTATGTTGTTATTTGTTGTTATGTGCTGTCGAGTCAAACCCAACTCATAGCGACCCCTCCTTGGGTTTCCAAGACAGTATCACTACAGAAGTAGGATTGCCCAAACTTCCTTCCGAGGAGTGGCTGGTGGGTTTGAACCTCCAGCCTTCTGGTTAGCAGTCAAGTGCTTTAGCCACTATGGCACTGGTATTTGTTGTTGTTGTTGTTGGCACTGGTATAGAGCTGGACAAATCCACATCCTCTGGAGGCTCCCAGCCCAGGGCAGGAAGCCAACCCTCCCTCCTACTGTCACTGAGTTTCCCGAGTGCTCACTCTGTGCTGGGTGGTGAGCCCAATCCTCCTGGCCCCCCTGATACCTGAGGGCCTCTCCACCCTCTCTGCTATGCTTGAATGATTTCTGTGTTGGGGAGTTTATCACCTCCCGAAACAACCCCTTCCATAAGGAGGTACTTACTATGGCGATCTGTAGTTTTAAAAAGTGTTTTCAGCTATTATCTTTCATTTGACTGCAAAGCTCATGGGGGTGCTGCAGGGACAATGGATCCCTGAGGCAGAAGATGGGAAGAGACTCATTTAAGGAAGTAACACAGCAGGCCCAGAGCCTGGGTCTTCTGGCTCCAATCCAGGAAGGTCTTCTGGGACATATGACAAGCTGGAGAGGCAAGAAGCAGGCCATTCCAAGCCAGGTTGGCCTGCTCTGCCTTGCCATCCCCCCCTCATGAGTCTGGGATGTCCTCTGGGCCTGTTCTCAGGTAGCTGTCATTGGGCATTTTCTTCCTTCAATGGCCACATCTTGCTGAGGCTCAGACCTGAAGGTGGGAGTGGAACAGGGGTTCCCCAAACAGATGAACACTTCTCTGTAGGGTCAGTCTAGCTCACGAATGTTGTCCTGAAATCATTATTAGTTATGTTCCCTTGCAATTTCAGGAATGACCCAATCTGGTTGATAAGTTATACAGCCCCTCTGCCTGCTGAGCTCTGGAGGTGAGGTGCAGGGCAGGTCTCGGAATTCCATCATTATTTCCTTCTTCCTCAGGGCAGATCATCACCCAATCTTTCCTGGGCCCTAGGAGAGGGTTCCCAGGGCCTGGGGTTTTTCATTTCCCTAGGGAAAGTATGACTAGCCCAGAGGAGGGAGGACCTTCGGGTCCAGGGCCACTTCCCCTGGACACTTCTTCCACCAAGGTGCTCAGTGTGCTCAATCTATGTCCCAGGAAGGACATGCTCTTCTGTAAAATCTCCCTGTAGGGCTCCCCAGCTCAACGATAACCCACAGTCAGTCTTCAGTGTCCCTCGTGGCCCCAATGCTTAACTGAACTAAGCTAGGTAGGCCTGCCTGCTTGCCTTTCTTGAGATACTACCCACCCTGCATGTCCTCCGGCCCCTTCTCACCATCCAGACCCACACCAGGAGGGCTTCCTACTGCCCTTCCCTACTAAGAGCAAGTCTCCCTCCTCACACATGGAAGTGGGGTCCAGAAAGGGAGTGTGCTAACCAATCACTGACTGCCTTGCAGGTGAAATCGCGCTGTGGTCCTTGGTGGTCTTGGCCATCGAGCGGTACGTGGTGGTGTGTAAGCCCATGAGCAACTTCCGCTTCGGGGAGAACCATGCCATCATGGGTGTAGCCTTCACCTGGGTCATGGCTCTGGCCTGCGCTGCACCCCCCCTCGTCGGCTGGTCCAGGTAATAGGGCTGAGCATAAGGGAAGGGCCCCCAGCCAGGATTCAAACTCAAAGCTGTCTGATTCCAGGGACTGAGTTCTTATGCCTCTGTCCCAAAAGCCTACCCTAGCAACTCTCCCAGGGTAGGGGCTTTGGGTAGGGGAAGAGGAACAGACCCTGGTGTTGCCATGGAGACTAGTCCTAGCCTCTGAGCCCCTTTGTCAAGGAGAATCTAAGATGCTCCAACCCTTCACCTTGGCTTTGCCCCTAATCCTCGACTAAGCCATGCCGATTCCAATCCTCTTTGGCCTAGTGCTCCATGGGCAGCCCTGACCTTGGGCCTCAGCACCGGGGAGGCTGACTCTTCCTATTACAGCTAGTAACACTGGACACTAGGAACTGGTCCAGTCTAGCCTCAGGCTGTGGTCTCCAGATGGGGGCTGAGCTGAGAGGTGTTGGGGGCAGTGTTGGGGCACCCAGACTGGGGATTCTAAAGATTGTGGTCAAAGAAGATAGGGCTCCCAAGGTCTTGGGGTCCTTCTGCTTCCAAGAAAATCTCACTCTCTCCTGTCTATCCCCTGTAATCTTCTCCGGGTCAGTTTCTCATCCCTTGCTGACTCTGAGCCCACCCCTCCTCCCAACCTCTTGCCCTGTCTTCAATTTGACACTATATTCTCCAAGGGGCATTCCACGTACCATGTCTTTGTCCTCAGAAATCACTGAAACACCCTCACCACCTGCCCTATGAGCATCTTTTTCCAGAATCTGCACAGAAATCTTCTGTATACTCTGTGTGCCCATCTTTGGCCTAGAAAATACTCTTACCCTGTTGCTAGTGAGAGCCCAAGCTATACCAACTGCCTCCAATACAGAGCTTGAGGGATTTTTTTTCCTTTACTTTGCAAAGCTCAAGGCCCATCCTCTAGCCTTAGTCTGGGGAAGTTAGTCTGGGGAAGAAACAGAATCACTGGGCAGGTCAGCAGTGCACAGTGAAATGCAGGGTTGTCGGGATCTGCTGGCGGCTGGACAGGGTTGGAGGCTGGGCAGTCTCTCCTGATCATGCAGGTGCCAAATAGAATAAAACCACATGGTTTTTCACAAGATGCTCAGGAATCCCTTACCTTAGTTGATTCAATCTCACAATCACCCAGCTGAGTAAAACAAAATAACCCAAACCCACTGCCACTGAGTTGATTATAACACATGGAGAACCCCCATTGGGTTTCCAAAGCTACAAATCTTTATGGAAGTAGATTGTCTTATCTTTCTTCTTTGGAGCAGCTGGTGGGTTTGAACTACCAACTTTCTGATTAGCAGCCAAATGCCTTACCCACTATACCATCAGAACTCCTTATTCAGCCAAGTAGGTATTTTATTTTCCCCAAGAGAAAAGTAAGGCCCAGAGAGGGGCAGATGCTGGCTCAGAGCCCCACAAGTGTGTTGCAGAGCCAGGATTCGGGCTTGTGGGGCCTGTTGCCAAAGACCCACACAAGTAGACCCCCTTTCCTGGCCCCAGGTACATCCCAGAAGGCATGCAGTGCTCGTGTGGGATTGACTACTACACGCTCAAGCCTGAGGTCAACAACGAGTCCTTCGTAATCTACATGTTTGTCGTCCATTTCACCATCCCGATGATAGTCATCTTTTTCTGCTATGGGCAGCTCGTATTCACGGTCAAGGAGGTATGGGGGCTCCAGTGTTGGCCTTGTCCCTGGGGGCCCAGCCCCATCTCTCTTGCTCAGTAACCAGCTGTGCTGGGCCCTGGAGACACATGTAATGGGTGGGACAAGACTGTCCACATCCTAGGAGCCAGTCTGACACCAGGCCTCTCCCCATGCAGGCAGCCGCCCAGCAGCAGGAATCGGCCACCACCCAGAAGGCAGAGAAGGAAGTCACCCGCATGGTCATCATCATGCTCATCGCATTCCTGATCTGCTGGCTGCCCTATGCTGGAGTGGCCTTCTACATCTTCACCCACCAGGGCTCCAACTTCGGGCCCATTTTCATGACCCTCCCGGCATTCTTTGCCAAGAGCTCCTCCATCTACAACCCCGTCATCTATATCATGATGAATAAGCAGGTGCCTGGTTGGGGGGAGGGTCACATCCTCAATGGGGCCTCAGTCTTCCTGCCATGCAGTGGGAGCAGGGAAGTCAGTCTACACCAGGGCAGTATGCATCATGGGTTAGCAGCCTCATCCGGGAGCTTGTTTGAAATGCAGATTCCTGGGTACTACCCAGACCTACTGTATCAGAACCTCTGGGGATGGGCCCAGGGATCTGTATTCCTAACAAACCCTCTAGAGGATTCTGATGCTTGATCAGGGTTGGAAAGCACTGGTCCACATGGTTTGGGAGGCCTGCTTTACAGTCAAATGGTCAAAGTTCCAAGACTGAGACTGGGATGGTGCCAGTTTCCACATAGCTGAACAAGAAGCTAAAAAGTCTTATTCTGAGGCCACAAGACCTGGAAAGGTTAAACCATCCCTGCCACAAAGACCAGAGGTTTCTCTTTAGAATCCATGATTCCAGAGGGAAAGACGTAGTCTCTGGAGTTGGACATGGGTTCAAATCCCAGCTCTGTCATTTTCTGCTGTGTGTGCTTCAGTTTCTTCATCCACAGAAAGATAACTGGCAGGACAATTTATTGGCAGGTTAGTTTCTCATTCCTTCAGTGACAGAGCCCCCTTGGGTTTTTGGTCTTTGGCATCTCAGGATGGAGATCATTTAGCCTGAGCAAGTTCCCTCTGGAAAGCCAAGTTGGAGAGGAGTGGAGGTTGTGAGGGGCAGAAGCAGGGAAGGAGTGAGAGGCAAGTCCCCACTCTCGTCAGCTTGGCAGGGTCTCCCATACTGGAAGACCCTGATCTTGACCCATGCTCCTTGCCTTCCAGTTCCGGAACTGCATGCTCACCACACTCTGCTGTGGCAAGAACCCATTCGAAGAGGAGGAGGGCTCCACAACCGCATCTAAGACAGAGACCAGCCAGGTGGCCCCAGCCTAAGCCCTGCCAAGACCTTGGCACCGGCTATAGGAGAATCACACCCCCACACCCGCCCCAAGCCATAGCTACCCCATTGGGAGGGTGCCTGTCAGAATATGGCCATACAGGTTCCCTGATTTAAAAGAAAAGAAAAAGAAAAAGAATGAACAAATGGGAGAAAAATGAAGCTACCCCCTTGGCGGGGTCAACTTGAGGAGGGATACATACTGAGACCACAATCTGGAGTTCCCAGGGGCTGGTGTGATCTGTTCTCCTCCTCCCTCCTCATCTCTAAGGAACACAAAGACTATTGCTCTCTGGAAAAGTGTCCCAGCTTAGGGATAAGTGTCTAGTGCAGAGAGGGGCACATAGTAGGTGCTTAATAAATGCTTGATGGATGAAGGAAGGAATGAATGGAGGAATGAATGAAGGAATGAATGGCTGGGGAACACCTATGTGTCCTCCCAAAACCACCTTAGCAAACAGCAGCTCACACCTTTGGCTATGTGACCTTGGGCAGTTGCTTTCTCTCCTGGGCCTCCCTTTCTTCCCCTGTAGAACAAACGTCCTAATTCTGGACCTGCCTCTTACTCAGCACTGCTGTGGAAATCAGATGAGTTTGTGTGTGTGCGTGTGCGTGTGTGTGGAAGCGTGTGTAAGCACTTTGTAAATGGTGAGGAGATGTACAGACTGTAGTTAACATTACGAATAATACCAGTTAATATAATTAATGAATTACTGTGATCTTCTCCTCTTCATAGTGATCATTTTGATATCAAGCATCCAGACAATGGGGTTTCATGACCAGCCTCAGCAGGTTTTTGAAAATTAGCCAGGCATTCAAGGCCATACCAGGGCTAGGGGTCCGATCACAAGGAATGTAGTTGTCGAATCTGAAGAAACAGCATCAGGGGCCTGGAGTCTGGGGCCAAGGCCCAGGTTTCACCTCTGCCACAGAGCCTCAGGCCCTGTGTCTCCCTGTGCCAGGCTTTTCTCTCAGCTTCTGGAAAACCTGCTGGTTCTGCCCTAGCTCCCAAGTCCCAGTGTCTCTGGGTCAGTATGGAGCCGTGCCCACCTGCTCATGTTTAATGAAGAGCTGAGTCCCTGGTGTCACTCTTGTCTCACAGAGCTTAGAAATAAGCAGCAGCAAATTCTGCTGGGCTCACCTTCCCTGGGGCACTTCCATTTCATATTACAGCTGCCTTGGTGGACAAGCCCATCTTCAACAGTTACCAACCAAAAAAACCAAACTCACTGCCGTTGAGTTGGTCCTGACTCATAGCAACCCCTCCTTGGGTTTCCAAGGCAGTATCTCTATGGAAGTAGATTGCCCAGTCTTCCTTCCGAGGAATGGCTGGTGGGTTTGAACTGCTAGCCTTCTGGTTAGCAGTCAAATGCCTTAGGCACTATGCCACCAGAGCTCCCTAACCAAAAATCAAACCAAATTCACTGCTGTCAAGTTGAATCCGACTCATGATGACCCCTTCTTGGGTTTCCGAGGGAGTATCTCTACAGAAGAAGACTGCCCAGTCTTCCTTCCGAGGAATGCTGGTGGGTTTGAACTGCCAACCTGCTGGTTAGCAGTCAAATGCCTTAGGGATTATGCCATCAGAGCTCCTTCAGCAGTTACCAGTCCATCTCTGTTCCGGAGAGTCTTGGCTTCTAAGCCCACCAGGATTCCAGGGAGTCAGAATTGAGCTGCCTCAGTAACTCCCTCTCCTATTACTAAAGCCAAAGGCTCTAGCTCTCCCCAGCTCTGTCTGGAGAAAAAGGCAAACTGGGGCATTAAAAGCTCAGCTCCTATATTGTGTGTTCATGTCTAGTGGTTTTTGTCACTCTTAAGCATCTTATCTGCAGAATGAATTGAAACTGGTCTGCTTCCACCTGCTCTCTGGCCCTGGGATGGCTGGATTGGGCAGCCAGCAGAGCAAAGCAGCCCAGAGCCACTGTGGGGAGTAGGGTGGTGGGGGAGAGGCTGGAGGAAAGCCCCAGCTTTGGAGTCACCCAGACTCAGTTGACCTGTGAAACTGCAAGCAAGTTTTTTTTCTTTTCACCTCTCTGAGCCTCCTTATCTTCTGAAGGAACTCTTAAAACTGACGTTGAGGGGATTTGTTGAGACTGTGGATTTTAAGCAACAGCAGGTGGTGGGGAACTTCCAGCAATGCCTGCCTGGAAGCCCATCTGCAAGAGGAACAGGATGGAAGAATAAGCCTCAAGAGTCACCCCCATCCTCCAGGGTGGGCAAGGGTGAAAGGGCCAGAGGTAGGAGGATCCCAGTGCTGTGGTGGGGCTGGGGCAGGGGACACCCAGGGTCCCAGTCACTGCCCTTCATTGTTCAGTCTCACCAGGTGATGTCAGTCAGGATTCCTTTGGTTGCAAGTGACAGGAAACTCAACTCAGTTGGGCTAAAACAAAAGGGAGAAGTTTGGTTCAGATCAATGAAGTGCCCAGGGCTTCATCTACCCTGATTGCTGGTTGCCGAGGTTCAGATGTTATCAGGATCCGTCTTTCCCCTTCTCCTGGTTCTACTTTTCTCTGTGTTGGCTTCATTCACAAGCTGACCGTTTCCAAGAGGTGGTACAAATGCCTACCACAATTCCAGCCTAGAAAGACGGCTTCTCTTTTCTATTCCAAAAAAAAAAGTCTTAGGTAGGGCTCTCATTGGCCGGGCCTGGGTCACATGCTCATGCCTAAACCTACCACTATGGCTGGGATGGGAATTCATCTTCTGATTGGTCAGGCCAGGTCACATGATCACTCCTGCACTCCAGATACAGTCAGCCCCACTGAAAACAAATGGTTTGAAGGTGGGAGAAGTAGGTTCCCCAAAGGAAACCTAGGGCTGTTATGACCAGAAGATGGAGGTAGGAGGCAGGTGGGTAGAAACAACAATGGTCCAGAGGATGAAGGGAAGGTGAGAAGGCACCCTGCCTTCTTATCACTTTCCTGCCACATCTTAGCCTTATGCCCAGGGAAAAATTCTGCTTTAAAACCAGACCATCCTCAGAAAGTCTATGTACCTTCTTAATTTACATTATTTGGTAGCCACTGATTGGTCACCTGTGATATATGTATAGAAGAAAAGTGCTTCTGACTTAAAGCTGGGGAGAGGTGGCACTGACTCCTCTCCAGGCTCTCAACAGATGTATTAAGTGCTTGTTGTATAAACTTGCAGTTGCAATCAACCAAATTGAAGGAAACCAACCAAAGAGATCAGGTTTCTATGCTGTGACCTGGCCAGCCTCAGCGTCACAGAGCCCTCTCCCCACTGATCCTGATTCAGGGAGAAGAGAGGCCAAGCCCGAGTCAGCAGACACAAGGTGCTGTGTTGCTGCTGGCCAATGACTGCAGCCGGTGCCCCAGTAGGAGATGTGGGCACTCCTGACAGCAGGGCAACCTTGGGGGCAAGTCTCTGAACCTCTCTAGCCCCTCAACTGTACAGGGGAGAACCATCTCACTGAGTAGAATTTTCTAAAGGGATTAATGGGATTATTGATATTAAGGATTCAGTACACAGTAGATTTTCAATAGATGTGAGTTTCCTTCCTAGAGATGCAAATTGAGTTCAAAGGAGGTAGTCCCTGGTCTGGTAGCAGATAGACATAAAGAGATTAGTGGAATAGGGAGGTTCTCAGAAAGAGGTGAAGTGAATGTTAACTGCCCCCAATATATATTCTTTCTTCCTTTAGTAATATCACCCCAAGTTCTAGCTGAGCACTTAGCCACCCAGTACAAGATTATATCACCTAGCTTCCCTTGAAGGTGGGGTGGCATGAGATTAAGGTCTGGCCACTGGAATGTAATCAGAAGCAGTATGTGCAGTCTGTTGTGCATTACAAAGAATGGAGATACCCTCTTCCTCTCTTCTTTCCTCTTCATGTTTAAATAAAATAGTGAATGTAAGATATTTACATAGACATTGAACAGTGGTAGTTATTACTATTTCTACCCTGCCCTTTGTACATTTATTGACCTAAAACCAGGAAAGTAAAGTCACAAATGTCCTGTTGTTACAAGGGCTAGAATTACACCAAAAAAAGACACCTGGTAACTGCTTCAAAAACTCTACAACTGTAAGCTTCAGAATCACAGGAAAGTCCTCACATCGAAGGACCCTATTCAGAGTTCTAAGACAGTAAAAAAGTTTCCAGTAGAACTTAGATTCCATATACTCCCTCAGTAAAAAATTCATGTAGGTACACTCAGTGGCCTGCTGTCTCTCCAGCAATCTGATCCTCACAATTATAACTTCCTGGTAAAAAGGCAATCCTCTCAGAGAATTTTTAGATTATGCAGTATGTTTTAGAACTTCTTCCCTCCAAATGCAAAACTCTATGCTGGCACAGACCAGTAGCAGGCTTTTAGATGAAGCTCGTGGGAATGTTTGTATGGCTGTTTCTCTAGTTCTTGATTCTTGGAAATGTCCTATAAATTTGATGAAAATTGCTGCCCCAATTGGCGCCAATTTCCATTTGCCTCTTTGCTTCATGTTCATTTCCTGCACCAGCATTGTTCCTGCAGATGCTGCTTTTCAGGCCTCCCACTCCTTGGCCAGGCTAGGCTCTGGCACTAGGGCTTTTACACATCACAACAATGTGTCTTGAGCACCTACTGTGGGCCAGGCTCCATGCTGGGCACCAAGGACACCACCAGGAGCAAGACAGACACAGCCCTGCCCTCCCATAGCTCAAGGCCTAGTACAGAAGACAGAATTGTAATTCAGAGTGCTGGAGTGACCCCAAGAGCAAGTCCAGTGGCTGGAAGCACCCAGAGAGGGGTCTCTAACCTTCTGGAGATCAGGGAAAGCTTTTCTGAGGAAGTGATGTCTACACCGAGGTCAAAAGGATGAGTGAGAAGGTAAAGAACCGCATTGAGGCGCAATGTATTAATCAGTTTACACTATATGGCAAACAATCCCAGAACGTCACAGCTTAAAACAATGAACCATATATTGCTATTCACAAACCATATGTTGCTGTGCACAATTCTATGACTCAGCTGGGCACAGTTTGGGATCATTGAAGCCTCTGTGGTCTCCTGACAGATTGGCTGGCCACTTGCTGGGCAAGAATGATGACAGGGCCATGGGTCTCTCAGCATCCAGCAGGCTAGCCAGGGCTTATTCACACACAGTGGTGAACTGGTATATCTCTTTCACCATATTCTATTGCTCAAACCAAGTCACAAGACCAGGCCCGATTTAAGTACTGTGAAAGGAGGTGCAAAGTCATATTACAAATGGGCAAGTGTGAAATTTGGGACTATTTTTGCATCAACCTAGCACATAGAAGAAACAACTAGACCAAAGCCCAGGTACCAGCATAGCCTATTCCAAGAGGCACAGTGTGGCTGAACTGTGGGACTCAAGGGGGAATGAGGCTCTGTAAGCCAAGGTGATGAGTTCAAACTTTCACCCAAGGGCAATGGGGAGCCATGAAGGGTGCTAGACAGAAGAGTGAGATAAAATTTCACTTTAAAACACTTTGATGGCCACAGCCTCCAACAATCTAAACCTTTGGCAATGGAGAATCCTCTGGAAAAATTCCAACAATACAAGACTACATCGAGAAAAATGTAAATACTTTTTAATGCGTCCCCTCAAACCCCACGGCCTCCTCAGAGATAATCACTGCTATTCCCTTGGTATAGATCCTTTCAGACTTCTTCTGAGCCTTTACACACACACACACACACACACACACACACCCCACAGTATTGTCTTCTC